GTGAATACATGTGAAAAAAGCTTCCTTAGGGAGAATACAAATGAGAAAAGGGTTGAGGAACACTGCCTTATACAAAGGGTCTGTGTCTCGGACTGAGAAGCTATAATTATAGCAAATCATCCTTTTGACTCTGCTTCCCCTGTGTCCAAGGATGAAAAAGTCAAAGATAAGATTTTAACTCGCATAGGTTATTCTCTCCACTTGCCCATTGGGGGTGATCATGTTTGTCCTGCTCGCTTAGTTGGGTGAGTTCTCTCCTCCAATTGCATAGCCCAGATCACTTGCTCCACCCACCTGGCATTTAACTTTTAGCATGAGTGATCTGGCCTCATATTTGCATATCTGTTCTGTCATAGTAAGATTATGTAGCATTTTTTTGGTAGACATAATATGTTCAGTTGACAGTTCATTTATCCATTCATCCCTCAAATATTCATTGAGCACTTCCAGGCGTGAGGCTAAAAAGGCAGAGAAGAAAGGACAAGGTCTCCAGCTTCAAAGACTTCCCAGTAAATAAAAAGTGATGAAAGAGTGATGGCATGGATTATAATCACAAGGCAGTGGGATGCCACTGGAGACTTTTAACCAACTTGTGGCATGATTAGCATTTTATTCCCCAAACTCATTCTGGCTACAATGTGGATAGGAATAGATGAGGATTGGAACTAGCTGTGTGATGACACAGAGTTGGGGATACCTGGACAATGGCAGTGGAGGTGGTGGAGATGGAAAACCCAGAGAATTTATTGATTAATAGGTTTTGGGGGTGAGTGAAAATGGGCTCTGCTCTGCTGAAGAGAGATTCATCACTATGCATTAAAACTTAAAAAGGAATAAAATATGACTCAGAAAGGTCATTAATGGTTTTCTACCCTAAAGAAGAATATTTGCTCAACACTGTTTATAAAAAAAATTGAAAAGTCAGGTAGACCAAAATGTCTATCAATAAGGGATTCAGTAAAGAAAATGACATTAAAATGAATGAGCAGGACCTCTATATAACAAAATGTTTCTGTCTCCAACACATTACATGAATGAGTATGTAAAAACCACAACCTGTTAATCAATAAATTCTCTGGGTTGTCCATCTCCATGGCCTCCACTGCCCTTATCTATGTATCCCCAACTCTGCATTATCACACAATTCTTAACTGGGTTCTAATCCTCTTCTATTTCAATCCACATTGTAGCCCAAGTGAGTTTGGGGAACAGAAGGATAATCATGCCACGAGCTCCCCAGTAGCATCTCAGCCCAGTTGTAGAATGATAGATATTTTACTATTCATGTCCAGAAGGAAAATTCCTTTTGCCACTTGGGAGATCCCCTTTGCAACCAAATGTTTTTCCACTTTCTCACCCTAAAGTAGACCTATTAAATATCAACTTTCATTCACCCACATAGCATTTTTACTTACCCTTTTGTTTACTTAAACATTTGAAAAATATTGTGTAAATACAAAATGGTATTTATAGAATGTGCATAAAAACTCTACAGAATTCGAATACCATCAGTACTCCTGCGCTTACCACCAACTGTACGAACAGGAAAATCTTGTCATCATGTCTATGTCCTGTTTGTCCCTTTCAAGTGTATCCTATCATTCCCTTCTCAGAGATAGCAATTTTCCTGAATTCTATTTATAATCCCACATATGTGTTCACATTGTTTAGTTTTGTGTGTTTTCAAATTTTAGATAGATATATAGATAGACAGATATAGAATCGTTCAATATACATTATTATTCAACATTCTTTTTTCACCTTCAGTTGTATTTTTGAGGTTCATGTTTTTTATGATGACTCTCCAGAGAAATAGAACCAACAGGAGCTGTATAGAAAGGAGACTTGGCTCATGAGGCCATGGAGGCAGAGAAGTCCCATCACCTGCTGTCTCCAAGCTGGAGGCCTGGTGGGATAATCCCACTCTGCATTGAAAGTCAGAGGACCAGGGAAGCCAGGAGTATAACCCTTGGGCAAGGCAGGAGAAGATCTATGTCCCACCCCAGTAGACAGACAAGAGGCTGTCATTGTGGGGACAATCTACTTTGCCAAATTCATGGATTCAAATGCTGATCTTATTGATACACCCAGAAATAACATTTAACATTTACATAAATTTAACTGCCACAATGTAATTGAATATAACTATAATTTTTATGTTCATTTCTGTATAATATTTTGTGAGTATGGGCCTCCCTGGTGGCACAAGGGGTTAAGCACAGCACTATGAAGCAATCTGCAGCGTCTGCAGTATGAGATCGATCCCCAGCCCGTCAGGGAGCAACCTACATGGCACAGCAGACCTCTCCTGACTTGTCTGCTGCTCCCCTCAGCAGTGTATTTCAGTCAGTCTGCCTGTTCTGTTTCCCACTCTGTCTCTGGTAGTTCCTATCACTCCCTGCATCTCTGGCCTGTGCCCCAGCTCTTCTATGCATAAATAAACAAATCTTTAAAAAATATTTTATGAGTATATTAGAAATTTATTAATATATTTTAATATTGGAGAATATATTGATAATTTCTTTCTCTGCCAATTTTAAACAGTACTACTATGGACATTTCTGAATATGATCCTTGTGTGCAGGTGTGAGTTACTGTACATGTAACAGTATAATACAGCGTACATACATGCATATACACATACACATATACATACATATACATACAAGTAAGGATGCATATCTTCCACTTTACAAAGCCATATAATGCCAAATTTCTAAAGTGATGGTGACAGCGTATGTTTTCACTAGCAATGTATTAATTATTCTACTTGATTCACATTGTCAAACTATCATTAGGCCAATTATTGTCAATCTGCTGGGTGTGGAATGATGACTAGCAAGTAAATGGGATGTCAGACCTGCAACCCTAGGAACTGAATCCTGACCCAACCCTGTGAACTTGGAAGAGCCCCCCAGGACACAGAATGAAACACAGCCTGGCTGTCACCATCACTGCACCTGAGAGATTGTGCAGAGGCCCTGGCAAAGCTGGGCCTGCATCCTGACCCACAGAAACTGAGATAATGAGTGTGTTTAAAATCACTAAATTTGTGTTCATGTGTTATACTGCAATATCCGAGCCATGGAGAAGGAAATAAAATCCCAATATGCTACTTAATTCTGCAGAGGGCAGAATTTATAGAGTTAATGGAAAGATTGAAAATCCTTTGGTTAAAAAAAAAAAAAAGGGAGGGTAGTGAGCAAATCAGCTAAAAGGGGTCAATTGGATGGTGGAGGATAGAATTTGACTTTTAGTGGCATTTAATGTAGTATATAAAGAAATTAATCATAATGCACACCTGAAACCTATGTAAAATTAAAATGTAATGTTATTTCAAGTAAAAAGATCTGGTGAGGGACTTCAATTGGCCTATCTAGGTCAGGTGCCTATCTCGGGACTGAACAATGACTAGGAAAACAGGGTTTTTTTTTTTGGAAGATGACAATGCCCAGTTAACCCACATGGTTTGAGGGGATACTTTTCAGAAGAAGGGAGCTTTCTTATCTGAAATAATAGATTTTACCCAGCCAATGAAATTGGAAAAGAAGCTTACAAAAGACAAAAATATGTCTAAAAGGAGATCACCGTTTTCAAATCATTTTTTTTTAAGGTGTGAATTTTTAGAATAGTTATTCCTTCTATTTTATTTTTTTTATAATAAATTTTATTTTTATATTCCCCATACAATTGCAACCCCCTTATTTTGACCCCAATCCCTCCCCTCCCGCCCCCTACCCCCCATAGAGTGTCTCTGGTTCATAGTTTTTTGTTGATTTTGATTTTCACTTTCTTATAGTTATTCATTTTCCTGGTCCCTTATTTAAGTTTTCTAATCATTTTAAAATTATTAAGAACAGTATGTAAATGTAATGATGATTAATGTGAAGAGCAATATCAAATTATAGTTTTTATATAGGTAAAAATTATAAGATGAAAATTATAAAATGAATATCCATTCATAGTAATAACAAAAGATGATTGATCAAATCATCAAAAGATGATTTACAAATCAAAATGGAAATCTGCAGACTCAATATGAAATTTCATTTTAGACATTCCCTGTTCTTAACGCTGTTGAAAAGTAATGTGACCATAACAATGTAAAACAACTGCCTATTTCATGAAAGAAATTTCTTGATGGCGAATTCACACTAAGGTTACTAGTTTCATAGGCTCTTTCCAACTAGCACTTGCATTTACCTCAGTGATTCTCAAAGTGTAATGTGCCTGGGAATTACCTGGGGGTGCTGATGAAATGCATGTTGCAGGACACCCGCCCAGGAGCTTCTGAATCAGTAGCTCCCAGCTGACGCTGTTGATTTACTTTAGCTTGGAAAACACTGCTTCAATCCAAAGGAGGGGGTCTTGGATGATTAGTGGCGCCTCAGTTCTCTCTGGAGAGTAGCAGTTTTTTCTCAGGATAAATCATTTTTCTGGCAATCCTCAAACAGCATCAGAATAATTGGGTCTCTGTATATCTGTATGCTTACTTGTGACTCTGAAGACTATTTTTTACCCAGGAGAGTGCATTTATGCCTCGTGTTTAAATGCAGTGATTGGTGAGGAATATGATAGTGCATACCTACCTGGTGCATTTCTGGTTCTTTCTCTGAATTTTCCTATGGTCTGTGAATTTCAAAGGGATGTAAGGACAAGTGGGAGGAGAGGTAAAGGACCCAAGCCATATCCTTTGAGAGTGGCAGATGTCCAGGCATTGTACCGGGGAATATGTTCCTTTCATTATTTGGCAATGGTTGGTTAGTTGTCAATGAACCATAGTAGACGGTCAGAACGGAAACCATGACACCCACCCCACCATAAGTTTGATTTTCTTCTCCAAAGTCATTTCCCTTCTGTATGTGGATCAGTGAGCTGGATAAAGGATATAAACATGCATCGGGAAGCTCCTTCCACATTCTAGAGCCTGAGTGCCTCTGAGTGAACAGCCAATCTTGAGTCTTTTGCCTTGGCCTTCGGTCAGGCTGACCTTCAGTTCCATGGGAGGTTTTGAGGGTCATCTGTACCCGGGACTGTCTCTCTTCCTCTACGGACTTTATCACGCACGACTTGTCTCCAGGGCCTTGATATGCAACCACCCTGTCCAGTATCTGCCACGCCGCCCCTGGAGCAAGGGAAGGTGGGCAAGGCTGCAGCAAATCCACTACGTTGGGTTGGTGAAGATATTGAGTGCCTGTATTTTAGTGGCCCAAGAGCTGCACAGCATCCACGGACAGCTTGTACTCATCAGCAAGGTTTTTCATCAGAGAGACTTTTTCTACCGCAAACAGTGGCAGCATCTCACCCTCTATATGACCTTCTTCCTGAGTGGGTGTGTGGACGTGGTGAGTCAGAACCTGCTGCCCTGGAGGTGCGCTGCAGTGGAGCAAAGTGCCCAAGCCCTGGGCCTGTTTCTGTTCCTCCCCCTGCTGGTGTCGCACATGCAGGACACAGAGGGAGTGGAGCTGCTGGCGCACATCCTGCTCACCCAGGCCATGTTCCTGCTGACGGTGGTGGTAATCGCAGAGCTGTGGGCTCCCAACATGCTTCAGCTCTGGGCGATGAAGGCCTTTCTATATATGCTAATTGGTTCTTGGCTGATGCAGATCGGTTTTATGCTCTTCAGACCTATCTCTGGCTACAAATGGATGGATGATGACCAGCACGACATCATGTTTGTCACCACCTTCTTCTGCTGGCATGTGGCTTTCGTTGCCCTTTTGATGACCTGGATCTACGGCTTCTCCTTTTGGTGGGTTCGTTACATTCGTTGACTTCTGGGCCCAGATGAGTCTGAGTGGTTCCCTCTCAATTGTGCATTCTGGAGCACTTGGATGAGAAGGTGTGGGAGGTGAGCTGTCAGCGAGGAGGACCAGTAGCCTGCTTTCAGAGTTTCCACCCTGAGGCAGCGTGCTGGGCTGACCCACCCACTCTCTACTTCCGTTTTCTTTGTCCCATTTGCTGAATGTGTACACAGCAAAGGCAAATGAAACATGAGAGATAAATGACTATGACCTTCGCTCTCTGCTCGCCAAGTATTTCTCCCACCCCACCTGCCACTCCTCAACTCCAGCCCAGGCATTCTGCTCCCTCTGCATTCCCCTGGCAGGAGAATCCCTCACCCCACCTCATAGAATACTGACCACTAGTCACCTTCAGTATATCATAATAATTTGCACATCACAGTAATCACCTCCTCATTCTTTCTCTTTATGAATCTTTAAATACTCATGCTAAACCCAAACTATTATGCTGACTGTTTAGAACTCGTAGAACTGTTGTTGAGGACTTTCTTTTGATTACTCTTTGATTTATCAAATATAAAGCAGATCCTTTTTCTCTTTTCAGCTTTATTGAGATAAGTTTTATTCCAAAAAATTGCACATATTCAATAGATCCATCTGGACAAGTTGGCACATAGGTGATAGTGTCGCCACAATCCTGAAGGCAGCTTCCTCTGTGGGGTCCACAGAACAGAGCAACACCCTGCACATAGAGAGGTTCTAAGGACTGGCTGCTTTCGGGGTTTCGCCATCCCTGCCCCCTTGAGTGTATTCTGTCTGACTCTCCTACCTGAGTACATAACCAGCATCTTTCTCTGTACACACTTCATCAATGCTCAAGTAGTAGACTCGCCAGGATCCATGTCATTCTGGTTCTCTTGTACCCGAAAATCTTATTTATTCTACATGGCTTCCTTTTTAATCTTGATGACTATCCTATCAACTGACTTAAGATAGCCGGATATTTACTATGTCACAAAATGCTATAAGTGAGGGTCAAGGGGGTTGAATGCTGACGAGTGGGGATGAATTATTGGGGACTCTCAAAAAAATGTCTTTATGTTACACATTCTATTTTTTTTCCCTGCAGTCCCCAGGATGTGAAGAATTGTCAAGATCCCCTTATTCCTGGTCACAACTAAACTACCCAGGCTTAAAACAGAGTGGAGCTGGGGAAGGGATTCCAGAGGGACCTCATTCCTCTAGTTTCCTCTTGGCTTCTAGCTCATCGGAGAACTAAATGTGCCCCTCTTCCTTTGGTTCTGGTGCTCCTCTTCCTTGTCAGTTTTCTGATTCAGAAGTTAAGGGGTAGCAGGGGAATTACTGTCTACTGTTAAGGGTCTCCACCCTCTGCTTTTGAAGACCTGTGAGCGTTTTGAGTTATGCAAAGAGGGGAGGTGTTTCCCAGTGTCATTGAGATAGGACTCAGCAATGTCAGAATGTAGGGTGGTGCATGCTGGATGTCCAGTGTGTGATGGGCAGGCAGGTCTCAACGAGGGCTACCGCTTGCACCAGTAGGAAGAACAGGCAGCAATGCTGCCTTCCACTGGAGAGGAGCAGTGGGCCCCAGAAACAAAGTTCCCCCAGGCTTGTCTCTCATCTCCAGGGCATCTCCTTGGTCCTAGTGACCAGTGCTGCTCTGCAGTTTTCCCTGTAGGCTCTGCTCTGTTCCTGGTAGTCACTTCTGGATCCCAACCCCTCTGTGTCATCCACTTTGGTATCTTCTCAGGACTTGCCCAGCCTCGCAGTTCTTCCTTCCTGAAGCCTTGCTGAAGCTCCTACACTGCCCTGAGGTTGGGGTGCCAGGGAAGCTGTTTCTCCCCTACATTCTTTCCTGATGGTATAGTAAAACTCCATTTTCTACTTCATTCTGGCCTCCTTGATATTAAGAGCTTTGGATATTTTTAATTTAAAAATTGACTTTTTATGGGCTGTGACAATCCGACCTCATCTTGTGGCAATACCTTTCACTAATTGGGTACAGTTATAGACGAGGGCAGAAAGCAAAGGCCAAACATTATAATTTCAAGATATCATCCCTCTACAAAGGTAAAAGTTGAAGCAATACCACATCCACTTATTAACAGTACTGTCCCATTTCTCAGTAATTTGGAGCTCTTAATAGATACTTATGAACTCTTGTAGTAAGCTAATGCCTCCAAATATTATACTTCACAGCATGTATCTTCAAGGTAAATAGTACATATTAGCAAGGGCCTTTGGAGCTGTAAAGAATGATTATTGAGGTCTGATATAGTGGTGGAAAGGCTGGTGTTGCATAGGATCTTTCTCTACTCTGCATATCACAGTAGAAGGAGCACCCTGACAACAATCGAAATCACTTGGAATGTAAGACCAACTGAAGATAGATTTGGAAAAAATAAAGCCAAAAAAACCATATTGAAATTTTGGAGAGAAAAAATATAATTTTCATGATCATCCACAAGAGGGCACCTTCTTCACAAGAACCCAGAGAGACGCAGGAGCTGCTTTGCTATTAACTCAAAAAAAGAGAAGGGATGAAGGGGAAGAGAATTCATAGGCAAGTCTCGTCCCAACATCCAGTAAACGTGATGAAGGTCTTGTTTCCTGTTAAACTGAATATGTGGAAATGAAAACGAACAGAATTCAATTGAATTGAGATCTGTAGGTCTATATACATAGATAAGATAGATATTTAGATCTATACATAGGTACATAGACATATAGATCTGTGTGTGTATTTCAAAAACACAAATGTCAAAATGCCCCTTGAGCTAAAATGGCTGATTTTTAGCAACTCTATAAAAATCACCAAAATGCTCTTGTTCAACCTCTCACAGAATTCTCATAAATATTTTCAGTCCAAGAGTTTCTGTCCAATAGGGACAACCTACAAATGCCTGATAGACTTTGTTGTATGATCATATCCATGAATTATATTTTTAATGCTTGTACAATATTAATCAATCACTAGTCCTAAAAGATTCTACTTCGTAAAACTCAGAATTTTTATTAAACTGATTATTTTAGAGGAAGACTTTCCAGATTTTTTCACTTTCTATATTACGATAGAATAATTGCTTCAAGACTTGATATGTTTTGAATAACATTTTGAATGCTTTGCTTAGGCTGAAATTGCCTCTCCCCTGATTTTTAAAACGTGACTACATTGACCACTATTCTGAAGCCTGTACTGAAATCTACTGTATTGGCAAAGATAACACCCATTGGGGCAAGGTATAAATTCTATCTGCTGTCACTCGCCACATAATTAGTCACTGGAAATAACAAGAACAGAGTTCTGAATCAGGAAGCACAGTTGTACCCAAGGGAAGTTTGTCAATATTGAGTCTAGAGCTTTTATACGTTTCCACTGGGGTGGTGATGCTACATTAGTTGCTCTATCTCTCCTCAAACTCTTGCAATATCCTAACCATCCAGCTAGACAAATTTTAGAACTTGATATTTTTGTAGAACTTAAAGTTATCCATATTACTGTTACATCCATTTCTCGGCTGAATTGAATAAATATCCTTGAGCACCTACTATGTTTTAGGCATTGGGGCCACAAAGATGAATACCTCACCTCCTTTTTGCTCTTTCCTTTCAGCTGAGTTCTTTCTTACTAATTAATGTGATTTATTTTTCTACTGATAAAATTGGATGTCAGTTAACAAGAACAGAATGAGAAGTTTCACCACTACCCAACTTTCTATTTGCTTAATAACAAAGCTCTAAAGCCCTTTCACACAACCCCATCCTCTGTTGTACCTAGGGGTGACTTTGGCCTTGCTAAATTCAGCTCCCAAATATTGTGTAAACTATATTGTTTGATGTTATTTTATTAAGCAATTTTGGACATTCTTCTGACTTAAATATCAATCTCCCAGAGGCTTGAATTCCCTTTTTCTGATGGATTTTCAGACACTTGGATTTCTCACTAAGTAAGCCCTCCCTCTCTCTTGTCCCCTTCTCCCTGGAAGTGAACATTAAGAGGAAAGACCATCAGTCCCATAAACATTAAAAATTTAGCAAAAAATTACTGACACAGAGGGCCTCCCCTGGTGGCACAGCGGTTGAGCGCTGGGCTGTGAAGCTGCCCGCAGCCTCTGCAGTGCTGGTTCAATCCTCGGCCACCGGTGACGGTCCCACATGGCACACAGACCTCTCCTGCCGTGCCCACTGCTCCCCACAGCAGTGTATTTCATTGGTCTGCCTGTTCTGTTCCCTGTTGTGGCTCTGGTGAATTCTCTCACTTCTGACTATATCCAGCACTTGTATAAATAAATAAATAAATAAATCTTTTAAAAAAATTATTGACACAGTAATTAAACTTCATATCCAAGAGAGGGTTAAAAGAATTTACAAATCTCAGTATTGTTTGAAAGCTTGTGTAATGTCTACAAAATCTTGTTGTGCCATAAAAGAAAAGAACTTAAGTTGGAAGGAATATTGTTAATAATGAATTCTAAATAAAACAATACTTATACTTGAAAAAGTGTGATGCTTTTTTAATGTATATGTAAACCAGATACTTTATTATTTATAACTATATATTTACCCTTGCATAGAGGCTTATTTATTTATATATAAACATATATATTTAATATTTATATTTATATATAAATGAATAATATTGTATATTGATATATATAAATGAACAATTATGTTATATATGTGTTATATATATGTGTGTGTATATATATATAAAACATAATTGTTCATTTTTGTACAATGTTTGATTTCTCCTCTCAGGTGTAGTCCCCATAGAATTCCCACCACCAGTCACCTGTGCACCATCACCACAGTCCCTTGTGCTCTTCCCACCTCCTGTTTTGATCCCTCTCCCTCCCCCTCCCCTGAAGAATGTCTCTGATTTATAGTTGCCAGCTGGTTTTGTTTATTTTTTATTAATATTTTTCCCTGATCCCTTATTTGGTCCCCCTATATTCCTCCTATAAATAAAACCATCCGATATTTTTCTTTTTCCTTCTGACTAATTTCACTGATTTTGGTAAGAAATTCTTTACTTTTTATGTTTTTGCATTTCAAGAAGTTTGTGGTTCACCATATTTCTTCAATCAACCATTAGCTGATTAATCAGCATAACACATGTGTCCCTTAAGAGAGTTTGGGAGAAGAGCTCTGGACGGCTTAATAATCTCATTTCATTTCTTTGATTATTACCATGTCCTTGCTGCCAGGGCAGAAGAGGGACTCCTCTGGCATTTAAGGCTCACACGGTTATTTTTTACCCCAAATAGGAAGCACAGCCAGAGACTGTGTGACCAAGTCAATACAAAACAACATAAGATGCTATTAAGTGCACTTGTTCCTCTTCTGCTCTGTGTTCATTATTAGCTCTTTGGACTAACTTATAGGTATCCTAGGACTTTGCAAAGAGGGATCCAAATTAGACCCAAAGCCTAAAATACCCAAATTTGATTTACCTCTCCTTAATGTGAAAAAGAACTTAATCTTCACACCTATTTAAGGCAATAAAGAATAATAACAAAAATAAATTTAGGATATTGCAATATCCTAAATATTTGCCAGACCACAATTTATTATCTGTGAGCAAACTCATGCTGAGTCTCAAATTTCCAAATTGCAAAAAGCATTTTAGACATTGGTAAGTTGGAAAGATTTCAGAAAATTCTTTTGTCTTATTATTTATGATTGTTCTTTGTTTCTCTATTTTTATGAGAATAAAGAGATTTGTTCTGGCTGCACTAATCATCATAACCCACAAGCAGGCATGATGCAATTTATAGTTGAAGGGTACAATACAGTATTGAGAAAAACAAAATGAAAGACAAATATAATTTATTTTTTATATTTCCTTTTTCTTGAGTTTGTCTTTTTCAGAGAGATTGGTTCAGTTGAGTAGGGAACTGATCAGGATTAGAAAAATTTGGGTCAAAATTGATTACAGAAAATCAGTTCTTCATATGATGATGATTATAAATGGTTTTGTTCAATCTTCTGGTTGAATTCCTAGATACATGTAATGCCTATTTCTAAGTAGTTGTTTTTCATATTGATATCATTTACTTTTATGTCATTAGTGGGAAAGAAATTTTTTTTCTGCTTTATTTTTATTTTTTATTTTTTAATTAATATTTTATTTTATATAATTCCTACATTATTTTTCATTTTTGCACAATGTATGCATTTTCATTTTGGTTATATTTCCCATGCAATTGTACCCCACCCCCTTATTTTGACCCTAGTCCTTCCTCTCTCCTTCCCTCCCCCCCCCAATAGTGTGTCTCTGGTTTATAGTTGCTGTTGATTTTGATTTTTACTTTGTATTAATTAGTCTTTTTCCTGGTCCCTTATTTAGGTTTTTTAAATTCCTGCTATGAGTGAGACCATCCGGTATTTTCCTTTTTCTTTCTGGCTTATTTCACTGAGCATGATCCCTTCTAGCTCCATCCATGTTGCTGCAAACTGCATGTGTTTATCTTTTTTGATTGCTGAGTAATATTCCATGGTGTATATGTACCACATCTTCTTGATCCAGTCATCTATTTTTGGGCATTTGGGTTGTTTCCATAGCTTAGCTATTGTAAATAGTGCTGCTATAAACATAGGGATGCAGGTGTCTTTTGGGTAAATATCTAGGAGTGGAATTATTAGATCATATGGAAGCTCTATCTTTAGTTGGTCAAGAAATCTCCACACAGCTCTCCATAGTGGTTGGACCAGTTTGCACTCCCACCAACAGTGCAGGAGAGTTCCTTTTTCTCTACATCCTCACCAACATTTGTTGTTGCTAGTTTTTTTTAATATGTGCCTTTCTCACTGGTGTAAGATGGTATCTCTTTGTAGTTTTGATATGCAGGGAAAGAAATTTTAATTAAACAGATGATACCCACCATAAGTAGTAGAAGGAATTACACAGAAAAATCAATCATGGTGCAAAGCCCAAGAGTCTTATTTTCAGTTCATTAAAATGCATTTTTCATATAAAAAAGGTTTGATTTACTGGCATATTTGAAATAACATAGGCTCTCGAATTAAATAGGAAAGGTTGAATCTGTGTGTTGCATTTACTATCTTTCAGTGAAAAGGAGGAGTTGATAATCTCCATTTTGCAGACCAGAAATCTAAGTAAGGACAAAATGTACATACTTAATGTAACTTCTTCCTCATCAAAGGCACTTAGAGAATGTTTATTTTATTCTTTTTCAAAATTGATGGATAAGGAAGTGACCCGCAGCCAACCCGAGGGAACTATCCAGGAAGGAGGAGAAGAGATGGAAAACAACATTGGGTATTAGGTTGAATTTTCCAGCTCAATCCAAAAGACAAGTCAAGTCTTAAACATGCACTGAGTACCTGTTAGAATTCTGGAAGGATATTAGATCCACAAACACATTAGAAGTAAATGAGAAGAGGGCCTCCCTGGTGGCACAAGGAGTTAAGAAGCAGCCTATGAACCAATCTGCAGCCACTGCAGCACAAGTTCGATCCCCACCAGGGGGTGACCCACATGACAGAGCAGACCTGTCCTGACTCGCTTGCTGCTCCCCTCAGCAGTGTATTTCAGTCAGTCTGCCTGTTCTGTGTCCCCACTCTGTCTCTGGTGACTCTGCTCACCCCCTGTACCTCTGGCCTGTACCTCAGTTCTTGAAAGAATAAATAAATAAATTTAAAAAAAAAAAAAAAGAAGTAAATGAGAAGACCCCCAGTCCCCTGAAGCACAAGTCAGGTTGAAAAGAGAGAAAGAACATAAACTCAGGATCTATACTTGGACAAAAATTATAAAGAACCTAATAACACATGCAAATTAGTGGACTAGCGACCTAGAAATAAGAGGTCAGGTATAGTCAGGGGAATCTAGGTGATCAGCTAACATAAAGACATCTTCAGATTAAGGTTTACACCAGAAATAAGTAGGTCACTTCCTCATAGAATCTGGAACCCCTTAAAGAAGGTGTCTCTGTGTGTTCACAAGAACTGGGGTTCTGTTGACTGGGGGATAATTCTCTCCTAATCAATCACAGGGGCAGGAAGGACATGGTAACATGAGCAACGTAGGTGAGTCTCTGAGAGGGCTGTCTCCAGGGCATTGAGCCCCCCAAATAAGGCAAACCGCTTCCCTTAACATTGTTAAGGGAATCTTTCAGGAAGACCCCATGTGGCTTTTATGTTATTCATGCTCTTTGTTTTCCTTATCTCTTCTTTCCCCCCATATCATGCTACCAGATCTAGAATGACAAGACAGGGTCTCATTCATAAGACAACTAAGGCAACTGAGAGGACAACTAAGAAGGAGGGAGCAAAAGGCAGATCCAGTCCTCACATTCCAATCCTCTTTCAGGGAGAAGTCTAGCATGAGCTTTGGGATAATCCAATGATTCCTTTTGTTCCCAAATTAATATTATTGTGTGGGATAAGTGTTAGAGATATTCCAGGTTATAAGGAAGTTCAAAGGCAGAACAGATAAGAATAGAGAAACAGGAAGGGTAATAATAGGCCGGGAAGAGAATGGAAGGATGTAAAAATTCTGGCTTCAATACGTTTTAGGGCAGTCTTATTAATGAAGCCTTATGACAGTCAAGCCCTTGTCATCAGCAGTGTGTATAGCTAACACACACTGTGAAAACGATCAACTGAGAAATTTCTGCCAAACCCTAACTTTTCTGTGGATTTTCTCTATAGTTTTATTCAACAAATTCATGGCAGGCTCTACAAATGACAAAGAAATTGACATTAGCCTAAATGATAGATCATCTCTTGAAAGAGCAATTTATTCAGCATTTATAGAACTTGGACATTATGCAAACATTTGCAGTGCTTAAGGGAAAAAACATGAGCTCACAAGGTCAGGCTGGTGAGGAAGACAGATACATCACTAGATAAGAACAATGACTCCTTAATTGTAATGATAGGAGATGCACATGATGGTGCAGGGGAGTAATGAATCGATTTACCCCATGGTAGATGCTACCATTCTTGGTTCATCGAGAAGATTTTATGTAAATGAGTTCTCGATGGCTGACTCGTAATTTATGAAGCAGATTGGGTTAAGAGGACATTTCAGGCCATGGGGAGGCAGAAGCAAAGGCATGGAAGTTGGAAGTGAGCATGATGGAACTTGTAGAAAACAGCTAAAACACTACTAAATCAGTGCTCAAGCCAGGACCAAGGGACAATGCCATTGTGCCCGAGAGGTCTCTATCAGTGTTCTCACCCCCACACCAGGGTTCAACAGCAACAGGGTTTATTTAACAAACAGGAGATTGGGGAAAAGGGAGAGTTTCTAAGTGTGGCCAGCTATCTCACCCCAGATAGTGTCCAGAAGTCCCAAACAAAGACCGATCGTGGAAGAAGAGACAGCATTGCAGTAGCCCACAGCACAGTTGAAATCAGAATGGAATAAATGAAAATTCCTGCCCTTAGTTTCTGGAAAGTGGCTGCATAAATAAAGGATGATGGGGCCAATCGTGTGATATGAGAGCACCAAAGTCATCCCCATTTCTGGCCACACTAGTATAAAATGGATTATGGGCAATGGTTCTCTTATATTCTTTCCTGCGGAGCATGCCAAGGGCTTGAGATATGGGTGCCACTCCAGCCATCAAGAGATGAACCAGACAAAAGTGGGGGCATGGGGCATATGAGGAATAATTGAGGAACTGCTTGGTCACTGGCCAGAGGGGTTGGAGGGAAGCAGAGGTTGTGGTGGCTACATAATCTACAGGAGCATTATTCTATTTAAGAGGACTTAGATGAATTCTGTCAAGCTTTGGGGGGCAGAATATCTGTGAGTGGAAAAGAGATAAGGAAAGGCAGTTCACAGTAGGAAACAATCTTTCTGAACCATTTTATGTCTTCGTAAATGGGATGGACAGTCCTGTGAGATGTCAAGCTCCCCACAGCTGGGTGTGTTTGAGCAGTATGACTTGCAGAAGAGAGTCCTGGTGAAGGGGAGAAAATTGAGTTAGATCTCCTTAAAGACTGCCATCACGCTGAGATTGGGCTGTGTGAAATGGTCCATTTAATTGCTTCATTTTCTTATCCCAAATGCAATTGTGGTTCACGAGTACTGCTTTTTCCTCCCCATATAGAGATAATTGGTTCTACAAATCTTATAATTCTGCTAGAGGATGAAGTCTTTGCTGATTTTTTCAACACATTTCTCTCTCTTCCGGTAAGCATCCTCAGACTTAAATTCAAATGTTTCATTAATTGTTGAATAGTGGATCTTACCAAGCTGAGTGTCTTTTAAGAAACTTCTTTCCAAATCAAAACTATTTCAATTTGAGCAAATTAATAAAAACCAGGATCTCCTCTAAAATCTTGCGTTTCCCGTCATTTTGATAATCAGACTTTGAATCCCCAGCCTCCTTGGTTGCCTTTGCCCATCCACAGTAACTTCCCATCACACCCTCTTGCTGGTACCTGAGTACACCTGGCTTTCTCCCACCTCAACACCTTCACTTGACTGTGTTCCTACTTCCCGTAATTCCACCAACTAAAGACTCAGCCATTTTTCAAATCTGTTTAACTCCTGTTCTCCTTAAGGAATTCTTAGTTTCTCTGTGCCCTTTGGCACCTTGCAACTTTTGTGTATCATATATGTGTGACTCCCCCAGTGCATTGTGAGAGTATGAATTCCGAGGACAAAACCATGGAGTTTTCATTCTGTTCTACTTCCCTATGTTTGGCACATTGTAATTGTTGACTGGAAGAAAAATCTATATATTTTCTCAATCTGTGTGACTAAAACAATCCTCAAACATCAAAATATTGTTTTTTTTTTAAATTTATACAAGAACCGGGGTACAGGCCAGAAGCACGGGAGGGTGAGAGAATTCAACAGAGACAGAGCGGGGAACAGAACAGGCAGACTGACGAAATACACTGCTGAGGGGATCAGCGGGCAAAACAGGAGAGGTCTGCCGCGCCATGTGGGACCCTCTCCAGCTGGCTGGGATTGAACCGGCGCTGCAGAGGCTGCTGGCAGCTTCACAGAGCTGCACTCAACTGCCTGCGCCACCAGGGGAGGCCCAAACATCAAAATATTCTTAAACCCAAACTCAGACCATCCCTGCATGTGTTTTTGGTTTAAATCTTTGGTTACATTTGAACTTCAGTAACTTATAAATTGTAGCTCATCTCCATGTGCCCTTTCCATGAAATGCTACCTGCTGAAAGATTAAATTTCATACAACTGGGGGGGAAAAACTCTGTATTATGCCACAAACACTTACTGGGGGGGTCACTTTGTGCTAGTCCCTGGGCTTAGTACTGAGTATGCAGATACTAATGATACTATCCCTGAAAACAGTCTAATATGAGAGACAGATATTTAAGATAATTGCAAAAAGGTTTGTGGATGACTTCATGGAAATCTCTGGGAGCATGGGGTACAAGTGCATTGAAGGGAGAGGTCACTCCTTCCTAGAAGAATCAGGAAAGGCTTCAGTGACACAAGCAAGTCTTGAAGTGAAACTGGATATTTGACAATTGACTGGGGAAGAAGATGCAGAGGGAAGAGTGGATAAAGAAGTGGGAGGAGGGCCTCCCCTGGTGGCGCAGACAGTTGAGCGCAGCTCTGTGTAGTTGTCAGCAGCCTCTGCAGCGCCAGTTCGATCCCAGCCAGCTGGCGAGGGTCCCGCATGGTGAAGTGGAGATCTCCTGTCGCGCCCGCTGCTCCCCTCAGCAGTGTATTTCATCAGTCTGCCTGTTCTGTGCCCCGCTCTGTCTCTGGTGAATCCTCTCACCCTCCCGTGGCTCTGACCTGTACCCCAGCTCTTGTATAAATAAAAATAAATCTTAAAAAAAAAAAGAAGTGGGAGGAAATGACTGAGGGACTGAGATCAAGAAAAGCAAAGCTCTTTCAGCAGAACAAAGGAAGTGAAGACACCAGGTAGCGCAATCTTAGGACATTTGGGGGGGAAATTCCAAGTTTCTAAGTAACTTCATTAGATTGAAGAAAAAGTCAAATACATCAAAAAAGAATACCCAGGTTAAGCCAGGCCTCCAAGAGCAGGCAGGTCATGCTTAGAAGTTTGGACCACACCCCGAAGGTGACACTCAGTGAAGTGTTTAAGTAAAGGGGCAACATGATCAGATTTTTATTTGAGAGAGTTATTTCTGCAGATGTCTGGCCATGAGTCAGGGTGTCACGGGACCTTGGTGGAAATAGCGACACCAGTTAGGAGATTGTTTCTGTGTCTACATGAGAGGTGACAGGAATTAAAGGCAAAGGTATGAAAAAATGGGACAAAAAGTTTTGTTTTACAAAGCAAAATCTTGGGCTTTGTCAGCATGAATGTCAGAGAAAGGTGGTGACCAGAATGCAGGCATCAGAGTGGCAAGCTGGGTGCCTGGGTAGATGGTGGGATCAGTAAAATGTTTAAAAAAAAAAAAAGGAAGGGGAAAGAGATCTCCAAGAGCAGGTATCGTTTATGATCTTCACTCATACCATTGCATGTGCTGTCTTATTTTTTAATTTTTTAATTGAGTTTGCATGGGTTTATAAGACTGTAAATGATTTAGAGGTGTAAGATCACACCTTCAGGTGTATATTACCACAGGCCTCTGCCATCTTAATGAAAGGTTTCAGAAGTAATCTTGAGACATTGTAGTCAATTTCTCAACACAACTTAAGCAGCCCACAAAATTCAGTGCATGAATTTAAAAATTAATGTCCCTTGAAATAGGAAAACTATGGAAACTCTCTCCCCCTGTGGCTGCAGATGGACCATGACATTCATGAAGACAAGCGCTACTCCTTTGACTGTTTCCTAACTTTCTTTTTGCAGGTCTTTGGTCAAACACCATTTTACACTGTTGAAAATTCAGAGTGGAGCTTGTGGCCAGAACTACCATATGACTTGGTGAGTAAGATTCTTGAAAGATGCAGAGTTTGGGGTGGGAGAGAGAGCAGAATTTGAAGTGTGAATTGGAAGAGAGTGAAAGAAAAGAGACCCAGAAAGTGACTGTGAAAGAAATTAAAGCAGGTGAGTAGAACAAACAGCAAGACTCCAGGTAGACATTCCTCCTTTTTGCATTTTTACCATGAGCAAACAATTGCTGGTGCATCCTTTACTTCATAGTCTAGCCTATGGTCAGCCAATGGAATCCATCTTTCACCTCCACTGTGATTGTTCAGTATTAGATGCTCTGAGATTGTGTTGAGAAGAACTCTAAGGCCACACATAAGCAAGAGACAATCTGGGAAGTGTTTTGCAGTGCATTCCTTGGGTATTGGGTAAGAAATGGCAACCCACGGGCCATGTGGTGATACATGGTATAGCTCAAGGTTAAGGTGCCACTCTGCAATACCTATCATCACTTGAATATTCTCCTCCAGATGCCTTTCTATTTTTTAAAAAAAGATTTTATTTATTTATGCATACAAGAACTGGGGTGTGGGCCAGAGGTGTGGGGACTGATAGGATTCACCAGAGACAGAGTGGGGAGCAGAATAGGCAGATCTACTGAAGTACACTGCTGAGGGGAGCAGCAGGAGAGACAGGAGAGGTCTGCTGTGCCATGTGGGTTAGCTCCCTGGATCGAACTCATGCTGCAATGGCTGGTGATAGCTTGATAGCTCTGTGTCTTTAAACCCTGCGCCACCAGGAGGTCCACTCTTTCTATTTTTCCCCTTGTTCTTGTCCACTGTCTTTCTCTTCTCCTCATCCCCCTTCTTATTCTTCTTATCCACTATGTAGACCTTAGACTTGCCAGTGGGATGTGGAATCAAAACTCACTCAAAGTATTGCTTACAACAGGTTTTGTTTTTCTCTGGGCTCTACAGAGCTGATGATAAAGACAATTCACTTGGATTCTTACATTCATTTCCCTTGGAAAAAACCCCCAATTTTATTTGTTTCACTTCCTCAGATCCATCTCCTGCTCTATGAGATGTTACATTTGTGTTGTGTGTTTTTGCACTTGTTGTGCCACTGATTTGAATTGGGAGCTTATGAGAAATTTTAAGTGTGTCTGCAAAGAAGATAGTTGAGTTATGACTTGACACTAGAGACCAAAATTTCTTCTGCTTCTTTTCTGTGAAGCAGGATTTAGATAATTTCTTAAACAACTTCCTTGATAATAAGGAAGATTATCTGATGACAGATGAAGCCTTTTCTTTCCTGCCAATCCATTCACCCCCCTGGGATCCTTAGCCTAAGCCTCCATTCCCTTCCGACATGGTCTTTAAGTGACACACCTCGCCTCTGGACCAGATACTCCAAGTGTGAGGTTATTTATTGCTCCTTGCTAAGCTGCTTTTCTTTGAAGTTCAGTTCCATTTCTTCCTTCTGTTCCTCTTTTGTTTATACTCTAGATTGCAAAGTACAAAGGATTATTGACCTGGTTGGAAAAATTCCGGTTACCTTTCTTCTGTAAAACCAACTTGTGTTTCCATTACATTCTCTGTCAGGAATTCATCAGTTTCATTAAGTCCACAGAAGGAGGTAAGCATGCAAGGTATATATGTGGAGGAATTAGGGAAACCAGATTGCACAGTGGTATGGTGCCTGTCAGAGCTACAGTAGGTACACTGTTGGCAGCCTTTATACCCTTGGACTGAGCTAGCTGAGTGTGTAGTGGCAATAGGTGAACTCTTAGACTGAAAATTGGTACCTAGAGCAATAAGCAGGGGTCAGGTGGACAGAGCTGTTTGTCTCACTGAACATGGCAAAATCATCTAAAATATTTCCAGAACCAGACATAGCTCATCATTTAATTGCTCCCACCGGATGGAACCCACTATCATTTTTCATCTGGGCACTGAAATCATCTCTTAGTCTCCTTGCTTCCACTCTCATTCTCCTGCTCATGGCAGCCAGAGTGGACCATTAAAAACTCCATTCAGATCGTGTCACCGCTCTGTTCATTCTCTGACAATGTGTCATCAGCACCAATGACTCCTCTTCAGTGGGAAACCCAGTGCCCCTAAAATGAAACCTTCAAGGTCGGAGAGATCTGGATTCATGTCCTTTCTGATCACATCTCTTTCCCCCGCCTCCGTCACTCATACATTCCAGCCACATGAGCCTCATCCCTCAGACATACAGGATATTTCCCACTTCAAGTTTTTGCATTAATAGAAATGTCTTTCCTCCCCAAAATTCACAGGGTTCCCTATCTCACCTCCTCAGTGAAGGCTACATCAATGAGCCTAATGTCCACATATACAGCCCTCACCCTAGCATGCCCAGCCCCCGCTTTACTTGCTTTTCATTTTCATTTTTTTTTCTGTAGTGCTAATAATCTTCCACTTTGCTCGATAATACACTTATTATGCTTCCTATTTGTCTGTCTCCTTCAGTAGAATATAAGCTTGAGGACAAGAGTTTTGCCTGGAAATGAGCTTGACAGTTGACAGGCATGTAATAAATATTTGTTGAAAGAGTGACTGAATAAACTGTCCATCTAGCTTTGGGTTGGTAACTTGATTCTCAGCTCAACTGGCCAAAGGAAACTGAAAGTTAAGATTTAGGAGCTTCCCCTGAGTTAAACGTTGAAACAAATCACCTACTACACTCATCTCCCTCCTTCACTGTATGTGTAGGGAAACCGGGTTAGCAAGATCCCTGGCAGGTGGGGACTGTAGAAGCCACGAGCCCTGGCTGGAGGGTGTTTTTGATCTGTGCATAGTGTGCTGCTTGTGGGGCTTTTGTGTGTCACAAGACAGGTTCTGGCACAAACTCCAAAAATACCACAGAATCAAGCCAAACTCATCTAACTGGCTGCCATGTTCTCCATTCACACTGAGCACATGGGAGTCTGACTGTGTCTGAGACTGAGAGAGGGGCTGGGGACGAGCTTGTTGTCTCTCTCTTTCACCATCAACTTTTCCTGACAGCCAAGATGATGAAATGGGAAAAGGCAGACCAGTGGCTACTCCAGAAATGTGTCGGTGGAGTCAGGGGCATGTGGCGCTTCTGTACGTACCTCAAGGGCAGCGCAGGTGGGTTTCACAGTTGTTCCTGGGCCTTTGCAAGTTCTTAACAATGTCTAGGGTGCCCTGGAGGGCTTAGGGATGATTATGTCTATGGTAAACATAAAACAAGTTTTGTAATGCCATTTGGATCAAAACCTTTGAAAACTAGGATCCATAGTATAGGTTAGCCCAGAAGCAATCTGAGACCCATTCATTCGTTCATTCATTTATTTACGTAATAACATTTATTGAGCCTCACTCCAAGCAGCCACTCTGCTGGTAGGTGGGGTAAGAGGTGGACAATAGCCATATATATGTCCTGGCTTTAAAATGCTGTCACTGTGGTGAGGAGACAGATAAGGAACAAGTAAAAAAGTTTTTTTTCATAATACATTAATAAATAAACCTTGTAGCAAAAGGATTGGGATGCACTGTTTTTGTTCTCTTGCATCCTTAGCTGATCAAAACTGACTGACAGTCCAATTCAGCAACATTAAACTTCATTCAGGAATGATCCTTCATTTAGGGATGAAATCCTAGATCTTCAGGGATCAGGTAGGAGAGAACAACACAGATTATCTTGCAGTTTGTCACTGAGACTTCAGCTCTGGAAAAACTGTGAAATATGTAAACCATCTTTGACACCTTTTGACGCTGATGTTCCTCTCCAGATTGCTCTGGGTCCATGGTCTAGGGAAATGTTTTTTCCCCCTGATCTTTTTTTTTTTTTGGACAAAATTTAAATATGTCATGATCTATCCTCAGAGGCTTACAATTTTCCTTAAAGTAACAGTTATTTTAACAACAGGAAAAAAGTCACCAAAGCTCCCTATCTGATAAATCCCTTCTTCCCATGTCTCCCATGCACCCCTACATTAAGACATGCCTGCAGACAATGCTTTAACCCTCCTAAGAGAATAACAACAGTAAATAGTAAGGCAGGCTGTTGGTGTCAAGGTGGGCGCAGCAGCTACACCCAGGTGCAACCACTGAAGGGCAAGATTGACAGCTCCGTGCCTGCCCTCTCTGATCTGTAGGTGAAGAGCTTGTAGATTTCTGGATCCTTGCTGAGAAGATCCTGAGCATAGATGAGATGGACCTGAAAGTGAGAGACCACTACCTGTCCCTCCTCTTCGTGCTGAAGGCCACCCACCTGCAGGAGGGCTCCCGGGTGGTGACACTCTGCAACATGAACATCAGTAAGAGTCATAAGGCAACTTTGAAGTGAAACTTATAGGGAGTAAAACAAACAAACAAAACTCCAGTGTCTGATACCCCTCAGTCTCCTGCTTTGCAGACTGCTGCCCTCTCTACCTTCTATCTATCAGTGCCAGTGGGATTCCCAACCCTTTACAGGAAAAGGTTGACAGAGACCAGCTATCCTTAGTAGGGACCTCTTCGTGACATTTACTTTTTAGCAAAAGTTGGCTGGAAGGAAAGAAGAGGAATTGGGACAGGATAATTGAACAGCTCCTGCATCTTCTGAATTTGAGTGGTTTGTCCTTTTTATTTTTTTAAATCAGTATTCTCTAGAGCAAATTATAACCTACAGGTCAAATGTAGCACATGTGGCTTGTGAGATAAGAATGTATATGCATTTCTAAAGGTTAAAGAGGAGATTGCTCACAATGTCTAAAGTATTTATTATGTGCCCCACTACAGAAAAAGCTTGCCAACCCCTTCTCTAGAGCATCAGATGCATCCAAATACACTTATGTATGTATTGAGTGAAGCAGCATTCCTAACTCAAATATAGATGTGGTCCAGAAGATTCGCTGTTTGGAATTAGTCATATTCTTCCACATATATGGGTAATTTAGAATATATAACATTAAAATCAGGGTTAGTAAGGATTCCTTCAAATTATCCAGTACAAACCCCTTCCTCCAATCAGATCTTATATTGAGAAATCTAACTAAGAAGTACATACTTCTGGTTCTTAAACACTTTTTCCTCATGCCTTTTGCTTTTCTTTATAACAGCATTCAATATTCTAAATTTAAGGAATCCCATAAAATGGCTTTTATCAATGGGGAGGAAGGGAGGCAATTAGAGAAAGTGGTCATTATGACTTGAGTAAATCCTACATCTAAGTCCACTATATATTTGACCTGGCCAAACCCCAGGATAGCCTGAGGAATGCAGGAAATGTTATATGAAAAAACACTTGGAGGGCCTCCCATGGTGGTGAAGCGGTTGAGCACTGGGCTGTGAGGCTGCCCGCAGCGCCGGTTCGTTCCCCTGCCACAGGTGAGTGTCCCACAAAAAAAAAAAAAAACAAAAAACAAAAAAAAAAAACAAACTTGGAAAAATCCCAAAGTTTCTCCAACATCATCATTGCCATTATCTCATTATGTCAGCCTTCACCTCTCTGTATTTTTTCCAGAGGCCCTCCTTAATCTGTCTATCTGGCATCCCAACCAGTCAATCACCAGGAGAGAAATTCTGAGTCACATGCAGAAAGTGGCTCTGTTCAAACTCCAGAGCTATTGGCTCCCCAACTTTTACACCCATGCCAAGATGATGATGGCCAAGGAAGAATCGTGCCAGGGTCTGATGCAGGAGTATGAGACTCGCCTGTGCAGTGTTTGCTGCTCCCATGATGGAGGGCTCCCCCTGAGCATGAGCATAAAGAATTGCCAACACCCTCAGAAATGGTACTCAAGCAGGAAGACCAAGAAGAAGATGAGGCAGTTGATTGACCATGATTCTTGGCCCCTGGAAATGGATCTCAAGTCAAACACCACCATTAGGCCTCCCCAGGAGGTATGTCCTCAAGAGACGATGAGACTACAAATGACTTCCTTGAAGGTAGTTTCTTCAAAGGAGAAAAAAATTAGCTCTCAAGAAAAGGATATACCCTGTGCCAGGAAGTCCAATGTAAAGAAGAAAGTTAAGAGTAACCTCCAATTGGAGGGCCTCTTTGAGGAGGACTTCTTGGCCCACTTGAGGGCTGTCACCCCCATCATCAATCACACCACCCCAGTGACTTTCAAGAGAGCCATCAAACAAAACTTCTCCTTGGGGTACATCCACTGGGCCTTGTGTGCTGATGCCTGTGCCGGGAGTCCCTTCCGTCACCACCTGAAGAAGCAGGACTTGAAAGTGGAGATCCAACTCCTGGATCTCTGGCAGGACCTGCACCATTTCCTCAGTGTCCTGATGAGGAACAGGAAGACTGGGAATGCTGTCTTTCGACACATGCTGGGCAACAGAATCTGTGAGCTTTATCTGAATGAGCAGATTGGTCCACCCCTACCACTCAAATCTCGAACCATTCAAGGTTTGAAGGAGTTGCTCCCTTTTGGGGATGTGAACCCCTGGATTCCCAGAGCTCAGAAGGAGATCTGCAAGGTAGGTCATTACTGAAATGAGTATCTGGAAAAATAGATCACAACCAACTAAAAGTCTTGTCTGATCATCTATACTGGCTAAGTTAATGGTCTGATTATCCACATAATCCTACACATTTTGAAGAGTTGGTTGGTCTCTTTGGAGCAAGCAATGAAAACTACAAAGAACCAGTCATAAGTCCAAAGTAGAATTGAGGGGAAGGTGTGGTCAATATCTACCTTCTATTCCTTCTTCAGTTCACTCTTATATGGGGTCTCTCAAAACTATGTACCTCAGGGTGTTCTGTTGAGGGATGTTTTGAGAACCCTGTTCTGAACATTATGTACTGAAATGCAGGGTTTCTATTTCCTAGATTGGTCATTAAGGTAATTGCCAAGTGGGAGGAGTTTATTCTTATCCCTAAGCATTAGATAAAAGCATGGAACTATCCTGAAGACTCCTAAGAAGTAAGGCCATAGCTTTACAATTGTATCATCAAAATCTTGGCAGAAAACAAATGGAACAAGTTGGGTAACAGATGAGAGCCAAATAAGAGACTACTTTCAAAGGAATGGGCATGAGGGTAGGGCTCCCAGGTCTGAAGAATTGAGGGGATGAAGCAGTTTCTAGAATCAGGAGAGAAAGAGCTGTATGCAGTGGGACACATGGCAGGATTATAATTGTCAGTAGTGGGATATAGCCAGTCCTCAGTGATCTGGCTGGGAGAGAACAAAGGAAAAAGATATCCCATGCTCACTTTCCTCTTGCTAGGATCCCTCACTGGATGAACCCAACCAGAAGTCAAGGGAGGTTTTGATGTCCTCACAGGTTGATCTCCCAAGGCATAACAGGATGAAGAATGGTAGGACATTTTTCTGGAGTGGGAAGTGGCTATAAATAGCAAATTGTTTAGTGCATTATAATGATTTGTCTTAAAAAGACCATTTATGCGCATTTCCTCCTTTAGACTTCTTAGCACCTCTGAGAGCAGACAGGGTGATACTGTTGCTTTTGTTGTACAATTAAGGAACATGAATCTCAGAGAGTGTAAATGGATTCACACAAAGGCACACAATAGACTAGTGGAGGCACAAGGATCAGAACCCAGAAGTCTTTGGCTCAAACCCACATGATTTCCAATACAGCATAATTGGACATTGTGGTTGCACACTGGGGTAGTGCATTGGGCTCAGCCCCAGTGGATCCATAGCTAACATTTGCTTTTGCACAGCACTTGAATACTGGAAGTCCAAAGGCAGCCTTGACCTTTATCAAGGGGTGAGAGGCTTAGACTGGGATTGCACTTCCTGGATCTGAGGACCTGCACAGCAAGGCTTCCTGCCAGCGCTTATTCTTCAGCAAAGATGTTGAAGTGTTTGTGTCTGGATAAGTCAAGATGTCACAACTTCCCAGACTAAGAATCTTGATATCATCCTTAACTAGTATCTTTATGCCCATGTTGAGTCTATTAGTGAATCCTGTTGGCTTGATCTTAAAAATCTGTCCAGTATCTGGCATTCTCCCCTCTTGCTATGACCACTTTGGTGAGGCGGCTTCCTCATATTGGGAAGCAATGGCTTCCCAGCTGATGCCTCTAAGTTTGCTTGGAGCCCTCAGCAGGTTCATTTCCACACCAGCCATAAATTGTGTAATTTAACTGAAAATGATGAAATGAGTGAGAACCTTGAAAATAGTTTTCTGTGTCCAGTAAAACCCAAATTCCTTCCTTACACTGACTCTTATATGAGGTCTCCCAAAACTCTGTACCTCATAGTTCTCTATTGAGGGAGGAATGAAAATAAGAGTATGGATAAGGAGACCTAGCTAAGCGGTAACTTGCAGAGTTGCTGTTATTACATTCTGTTTGTTTTAATGAAATAAGATATGCTTCTCAAGTGGGTAGCATCTTCTAGTGGGAGGGAAAAGAGATGCTTGGTTCTTAGGACCGTTTTGAGAATCATCTGAGAGCACTTTGGAAATGAACAAAGAAATAAGTAACTGTTCTTCAGTAAAAAAAATTGTCCTATCTCGTCTTAGTTATTATCAATGACTAGTCTCTGAGATGCTGAGAGGCATAGGCAGGCCTCCTGGTTGATCACGGCTAATGTCTGCTCTTCCACAATATCTCCATATTAGAGAATCCAGAATCTACAGCTCCTGGTCTCCCAAGGAAACACTAGCTGCAGAGAGGCAGCAAGCTCAGCACTACCTCATAACACTTGTGTCCTCTTTGGATTTCAGATGCTCAACTGCTGGTATGATGAATTCCTGGATGAAGAGGACTACTGGTTTCTCAGTTTTGCAGTAAGAAGGGCTTTGAGTTGGGGAGGAATCATGTGGGGAAGGAAAGAAATTAGAGAAGCTGCTCTTTAAGATGCTTTATGTGTTCAGTAATTGGAATTTGATTTTTCCCAGAGGCAACTGGGGATTGCCTTTGCCCCTGATGTTATAAAGATAATTGAGTCTCAACAAAGACTCAGTTATATACACTGATTTTGAAGAAGCCACAGTCATATAGAATTTCTCCCTGCGAGAAAATGGTTTTGATTAGAAGAGGGGGGCATTGATGTATGTAGTAGCAATGGTTCTTAACAAACTGAAGATGACAAACCTACATCTGTGGGAAGTAAAGGAGGTAAAGGAGACCTGGGCTGCACAAAAAACCGCTGCTGGTCTAGTTACTGTAGCAAATAATGTCTGTCCTCCACCCCCTTCTTTTAGACTCAGACCCCTTTCATCAGAACCAATTGGCATAGAAAAGAATGTATAAGCAAGGAAGAGATCATTCTTCTTTATAAGAGGTTTGAGGAATCTCTGGAGTTAAGCCAGGGTTTGGCTGACATGGAGGGAATGGATTCTATGCAGTGGCAAAAGATAGCTACTGAAGATTTGAGGCAAGGTGGGTCTCTCCAGGTAGAACTGAAGTCTCCAGTGTTTCTAGCAGGTAAGGGAAGTCACCTTAATTTTTTGATATAGGCATATATCATATAGGAAACTGGGAAATATTAATAATTAACATTTAGTGATTACTACTACACATCAGCACCATGCAATTTGATGTTCACAATGACCTATGAGGTAAGTCTTGAGTATAGACACAGAGAGGACAAGTGACTTCCTAAGGTCACACAGTAAGTGGCAGAGCCAGGATCTGAATACAGATTGACTGGTCATAGGAGCCCCTGCTGGCTCTGTAAGGAACCATGATGCTCAAGTTTGACCAGACATCACCACAGTAACACTGAATACTTTTTGTGCATCTGAGAAGCATGTTCCTCTTTTCCACATGTTCCCCAGATATGAGTCCCATGCATTTCTGTGCATTTACTATTAGCAGCCATCCCTCTACCCCAATGTAACATACCAGCATCCAGGCAGTGGGGAGAAGTAGCTAGGAAAACAAGGCTCTGCTGTCCCAAGAGCCTGGGGTCGTATCCTAGGTCTACTATTGACTGGATGAACTTGAGAAGTGCATTTAACCTCTCTTTTAAGCTCTGATTTTCTCATCTGCAAATTGGGAATAATAACGTGTTGTGAAGATGACCCAAGATCATCTATGAAAGCTATTAGTGCAATGTTTGCAATAGTAAAAAATAATAAATGTGAACCATTATTATTCAAATGAAAAAACTGCTTTAATTATCTATGCTGTGACAGAGTAGTGCAGTATTTCTCAAACTCTGATCCACCATAAATACACATGAATTTATGGCCTGGGAAATACATACCTGTGTGTGTGTTGCATATTATGGAAAAATAAATTTACACAAGATGATATACTCCAATATTCTCTATTTCATTTTTCAAGAGCTGTCAATGACTCAACTTATTTTTGGCATATTTTTGAGGCATGACCATCACTTTGAAATACACAGGTATAATAGGAATAAGCAAAAGTTTTGAAAATTCTGTTCCACCACTCTCTCTTTGAGCTTGAACAATTTATTTCACCTCTCTGAGACTCATTTCCTTTATCTGCGGAATGGAGGCAATGGCAGGATTGTTGAGAGGATTGCAGTATGGGAATATTTGATATGTAGTGATTATTAGATTACACTCAAAAATGTTTTAAGTTCTTTAAAACTTTGATGCCCACTCCCCATATACACGCTGCCTTGGGGGCTTGCCTTTCCTGGTTATGCTTAGACACAAGTTATTTAAATCTAGCATGAACAAGGCCTCCCTGGTGGTGCAGGCAGTTGAGCGCAGTGCTGTGAAGCTATCCGCAGCCTCTGCAGTGCCGGTTTGAGCCCCGCCGGCTGCAAAGATGCCCACATGGTGAGGCAGACCTCTCCTGTCCTGCCCGCTGCTCCCCTCAGTAGTGTATTTCGACAGTCTGCCTGTTCTGCTGGTGAATCCTCTCACCCTCCTCCACAACTGCCCGGTACCCCAGTTCTTAAATAAATAAATAAATCTTTAAAAAATAATAAAAATAAATCTAGCATGAACAGCCCCTCTGTTTATCTCAGGAATTCACCTACTCTCCAAATCCAGAAATTCCAGGGCCTCCCTGGTGGCGCAAGGGGTTAAACACCTCACTATGAAGTAATTCCCAGCCTCTGCAGCATGAGTTCGATCTGTAGCCGGCCAGAGAGCTACCCACATGGCAGAGCAGACCTCTGCTGTCTCACCTGATGCTCCCCTCAGCAGTGCTTTCGGTCATTCTGCCTGTTCTGCTCCCCACTCTGTCTCTGGTGAATCCTCTCACCCCCCACATCTCTGGCCTGTATCCCAGCTCTCATATGCATAAATAAATAAATCTTTAAAAAATATATTAATAAATAAATAAATAAATAAATCCAGAACATTCCAGAACCTCTCAGATATCAAAAGAAAAGTGGAAGAAAGGATGACTGGTAAATTTCACCACACAAACACATTGAGCAACAGACATTCCGGTGGTGGCCAGAGACTGTTAGGAGTGGCCAGAAAGAGCAGAACCCATCCCCCCATAGAGACACCTTCCCTAGGCCCCTAGCCCTCATCTTTTCGTCCTCCACTAATGCTTATTTGGAACCCATGCCTGACCTGATAAAGGACCTTCTGTGCATTTACACAAGTTGGGGGCCTTACTTCCAGGTAATTCTCAGGTGGGGTTATGCCCCCACTCAGACACCACCACAAGCTCACAGGGCTAGAGTACTGTCAGCTTCAGATGGAAAAACTGAGTCCCACATCACAAAGTTAAAAGATTTACTCAAGGTTGCTCAGCAAAAGGAAGCTGCTCCAGGGCTAGAAACTTGGACTCCTGACAGGAACAACCCACTGCTCTATTGTTTGTGGTCACAATTCCCTGGCTGAGAAATGATAAAGATGACAGTGACAACACTGGTATAAAACAACTGAGACTTTTGTTTTGCATCTCAGTATTCCTTCTAGAATCCACTACTGGAATACTCTGAGAAATTCCAGAAGATCTGTTCAGTTAGACTTAATCTAACCCTGGAAAGCATGACACGAATGCATGGTCCACCTTGCTGGGTGGCGAGGGGCTGCTGTTCTGCTTCTGTTTTTGCACAGTTCAAACTGCTCTTACTCTCTCAGTCTTACTGTCCCACCTCATTTTGGAAACAAAAATGTTTTCCTCTCAATTCACCATGACTGGAAACAATGCCTCACTATTTCTAGGAAACATTATTCATTCTCGCAGGATAATAATTTGCAACTCATTTGGAATATGATTTTAATGTCATACTGATGATACTCGGATATGTGAGTTATCAATTCTGAAAATAATTCCCGAAGACAGATGCAACAGAGGGAAGGGCCCTAGCATATTATTTGGCATATACTATTCCTGTCTTTGAAGCACTAGAAGAATGTTTAAAATGCATTTGCAGTTTCTCCTCAAAACAGCTGGCTGCGTTGAAGAGGTCAACATTCATTTGGATGAGTTACTTCTTGTTTATGTCTTAACAATTAGTACCTGTTTCAAAGTTATTTTAGTATCTCTCTGGCAGAGAATCTCCATGGCCAGGTTTTCCCAAAAAGGACAGATTCTTCCCATTCTATGGGAGAGAGGAAGCTATAAGAATTTGTCTTTCTTGTGCAAATATTCCATTAAAACACTAGTGATTTTAAGTTTAAACTAACATTTGAAAGACAGTACTCTCGACAAAAGTACATTAATCTTTGAACCAAGAGCAGACAACTAGATTCTACCCATTTTTCCTTCCTTGATAGATACAGAGAAAATGTCCTTTGAGGAGCTCTGCTATAAATATCCAAAATTGGCCATAGAGAAGATCAGCAATGACTACAAAATATATTGTGAAAAAGCACCTAAAGTGGGTAAGTGTTTAAATTTAGGTAAGTTTGAGACAACCGGATAAGAGAAAAATTTCCAGACTCTAGAAGCATAAGCCAGAATACAAATAAACTTTCATTTAAAATGAGGGCGGTCAAGTGGTCTCCAGTGGCACAAGGGTTGAAACACGTCACTGTGAAGTTATACGCAACCTCTGCAGCATGAATTCGTTCCCTGGCCAGGGAGCTCCCACATGGCACAGCAGACCTCTCCTGACTCGTCCGTTGCTTCCCTCAGCAGTGTATTTCAGTCAATTTGCCTGTTCTGTTCCCCATTCTGTCTCTGGTGAGTCCTCTCACACCCGCATCTCTGGCCTGTACCCCCAGTTCTTGTATGCATAAATGAATAAATCTTTTTAAAAAAAACAAATAAAATGAGGGAGGTCAAGGGAGAATGACCTTGTCTTTTATTCTCCTACTAAATATGAGAAGGGCATCATGAAAATGAGATGTAATTATTGACGAATGAGGATAAATGAAAATTGTGAACACCTACCTCCTTACCTAGTTATCACTCTGGGGTTTAAAATAATGCAGATTTGTCTTTTGCCAAGTTGTCTGGAGTCAGAGATTTGTCAAAGGAGCTATGTTGGGGTGTGTCCTTAGGAATAACACCTGTAAGGGGGAGAGGAGAGCAGGACTGGGCCAAGGTAGATATAAAACTGTCAGGTTGTTACAGCAGGTCTCAACAGCTCTAAAGGATGGCCCTTCCATTGAGACAAGGAGCTTATATATTTCCACAATGACACATAATGGATGTGGCTGCCCTTAGAGAGAATATAACCTTAGGTGGGACAGTGACTTTTGGCCAAGCCAGTTTCCAGAGGAAGCCCTCAACTATGAACTCTAAGCAACCAGCACTGCAAAAGCTGGGGAATGAATAATTTGGTCCTAAAGGGAGAATTTGAGTCATGTACCAAGGCACCAACTACTATTCATTTGCTTTGTATGGAAATTGTGTAGCTCCAAGTCTTGTTGGTTTCTTTCCTCGGGGAATTTAAAGAAGGCTGATACTTATTAATGTAACCTATCTGGAGACCACACAAATGTTCCTCTTCCCCTCCTCTGCTATCTGTCATAGATTCCCTTGATGCTCAGCTAAAGTCTCTGCAGATCTTGCGGGGAGGAAGAGCATATCTGGCAGAATGACTCAGACACTCGGACCTCCCTGGTGATGCAGGGGGTTGAGAGCAGCACTGTGAAGCTGTCTGCAGCCTCTGCAGCATGGGTTTGATTCCCAGCTGGCCAGGAAAATACCCACATGGGGAGGCAGATCTCTCCTGTCTTGCCCTCTGCTCCTTTCAGCAGTGTTTTCGTTCCAGTCTGCCTGTTCTGTTCCCCACTCTGTCTCTGGTGAATCCTCTCACCCGCCAGTGCCTCTGGCCTGTACCCCAGTTCTTGTATAAATAAATCTTTAAAAATAAAGAATGACTTAGACACTCACCGCTAAGAGACCTGAACCTTGGTTAGCACACATAACCCTTGGATTGTGGCTGATGCACTTGTTAAGTTATCATCAGAACTGGATTGGGGAATACCAAGAGGAGGACAAAGGAGTTCTCTGCCTCTGCTGTGTAACATGGCCCTGATGATCCGTCCATCACCTTATCAGTACAGTGATTCTTTTGCTTGCCTGAGACCTCTTGCCATAGGAGTTTGAAGTGACTGAGTGCCTACTGTGTCCCTAATAGAAGCATTCCAGGATCTAGGATATCTAGAATGGCACTGTCCACACAGGGCCACAAGCTCTATATGGCTATTGAGCACCAGAATGTCTAGTATAAATAAATAGACTATATAAAATATATTGTTCAAGGTAATTTTTTCCCTTTTAGCTCTTTTAAATTGCATATTTCTATTGGTCAGTGCTTGTCTAGACTCACAGACCCTAAAGTTGTAAAGATTAGAAATTACCCTCAATAAGTCTCTTATACCGATAGTAAACAAATCACTCCTAATTTCATCCACTGGTTTCCAGACCCAAGTCTTTTACTTACTGGGGACATAGTAAGTAGATGTTCTAAGATACGTTCTACTTAATAAATATTTTAAATCATCAACTATAAGATTATACCATGTCCTAATTTCTAGTGGTGAGATGAATAACTTGCAATTTCTGTCCTCAATGAATTGACATTCTATATTGTCTTCCATACTATTAACCTCAAAGAATTCTTCTAATATTGAGATCTTTGGGATCTCCATTTTTCAATAGCAATGTTTAATATATATTTTTTGAAATAAATGCTTTTGAAATGGCAATCAGGGACCAGACACCCACTCTGAATTGTGTATGAGATAGAATGATATTTGAGAAGAAGCCTTTCATGGAAGAATGTCATCATAACAATGAATGGTTTCAGTTAAAACACATTTCAGTTGATGAAGTGGTAGAGAATCTGTGAGAGTTTGCTGATGACAAAGCAAGAATTCCAGACGGTGAGTAGAAGGATGTAGGATGGGTTAGCAGGAGTGTCAAGGAAGACTGGAAGTCATTTGGACTACGATTGGATGTCATGTGGTCCAGTTAAAACTGGGGAGGGACAACATTTAATGCCAATTAACATGATAAGGAGAGGTATAATGAGCTTGGTCTCTGCAGTCTTCTGGGGAAGGTGGGCTCTAAGCCTTATGACTAGTAGACTTAGATAACAAGGTTTAGGGTGATATAAGTGTCAGGGTGGAAATCATCCCTACTTCTCTTAGTACTAAGTATCTGAGATAGCAATTGTAGTGATAGTGATTTTTCCACATGCACTCAATGTCTGCTAGATGACCTTGTTACTTTGTCCCTGCTTGTGCACTGCAATGTTCTTTCTAACATGGTGTTCCCCAACTTTGTGATTGCTTTCATTAGATTTTTCAGTGGAAATTATCAAAGAACCAAGGATAATCTCACTCTCGTCTAGGAAATCGTCCTTTGTCAAAAAGGGTGATATAAGGAAGCCCTCAACAAGACCTGAGTAAGATATAGAATCTGACTATAGCAACATCTTCTGACACAAGCTGTCTTTACTCTCAAATTTGTTTAATGTTGAACTAATCTTTCTGTATGTAGATTTCCAGACTTCTTTCCATATGTCACACAGAGATGTACAGACACTGTGTATTTTAAATAAGTATTAATTTCCAAACTTGGTGCCATGCAAAACAATTATTTTACTTAATATCATGGATACCCTTTCACATCAGTTTGTATAGGTCCACTTTCTTCCTTAGTATGGATGCAGAATGACTTATTACACTATATCTTTTTTATGGACATTTACATTATCTTTATTTTTCATTACCATAAATAATACCACAATAAGCATCTTTGCACATCTATTTTTGTGGCTTCCCCAGCCCCCCTTGTGCTCGGGATTTTGTTTGGTGCCAAAAGTTGCTGCTGGTCAAGCTAAAATGTAGAGTCAGTGGATCAAGAAGATGTGGTACATATACACCATGTAATATTACTCAGCATTCAAAAAAGATAAACACATGCAATTTGTAGCAACATGGATGGAGCTGGAAGGGATCATGCTCAGCGAAATAAGCCAGAAAGAAAAAGAAAATTACCAGATGGTCTCACTCATAGCAGGAATCCAGAAAACTTAAATAAGGGACCACAAAAAAGAATAACTATAAGAAAGAAAGTATCAAAATCAACAAACAACTATGAACCAGAGACACTCTATGGAGTGTGGTGGTGGGGGGGGCGGGAAAAGGAGGGCTTGGGGTCAAAATAAGGGGGTTGTAATTGTATGGGGAATATAAAAAATAAAATTTAAATTAAAAAAAGATAACATAATATTGATTATTATCCAAAGTATAAAATAAATATACTTGAGTGCAAAAAAATTAAAAATAAAAAAAAATAAATAAAATGTAGAGTCAGGCAGGGGGCCTCTTACCAGGACAAAAGTCTTGGTATGAGGAACATACTGGAAAACCAGTATCTGCTGAAAAAGCAGGCAGACTTTATGGCCAAATTAGCATAACCAACTAGACCACCTTGACAGCAAGTTGACAGGAAGTCAACTGTAAAACACGGACTAGAGATAGAATGTTTTGATTCGCAGCAACATTGGAGCCCCCCCAAGCAGCAGCCTCATTGACTATCCCCTAGCTTGTGCCAGACTGTTATGCATCCCCATTCCACATCCCCACCAGGCACATTCCTTTATACATTCTTCCACATACTTGCCCACCATCCCTGAATCTGATACCAAATAAATGTGAGAGGATGAAGTTCGAAGGAATTATGCTCAGTGAAATAAGTCAGAAGGTAAAAGAGAAACATCAGATGGTTTCACTTATAGGAGGAATATAGGGGAATCAAATAATATATCAGGAGAAAAAATAATAACAATACAAAATAAAACAAAACAAAAACAAACAGATAATTATAAATCAGAGACATCCTGAGGGGAGGAGGAGGGAGAGGGATCAGAAGGAGGGAGGGAGGAGCACAGGGGACTGAGGTGATGGTGCACAGGTGCATTGGTGAAGGGAAATCTATGGGGACCACACCTGAGGGGGGAGGAAGCAGACATTTTCTAAAAATGAACAATGATGTAGGGCCTCCCCGGTGGCGCAGCGGTTGAGCACTGGGTTGCGAAGCTGCCCGCAGCCTCTGTGGCACCGGTTCGATCCCCGGCTGCTCCCCGGCCACTGGAGGAGGGTCCCACATGGCGCGCAGACCTCTCCTGCCGCCCGCTGCTCCCCTCAGCAGTGTACTTCAACCCTTCTGCCTGCTCTGCTCCCCGCTCTGGCTCTGGTGAATTCTCTCACCCTCCCGCGCTTCTGACTGTACCCAGTGCATGTATAAAACAAAACAAACAAACAAATAAATAAATAAATAAAGCATGCCTCTATTAAAAAAAAAAAAAATGAACAATGATGTAAAAATATATTTAAAATATAAAAATGAACAAATACATTAGGTACAATTGAAAGACAAAAATCAATCAATCAGTCAATCAATCAATAATGTGAGACTGGCCATACTGGGACTTTGAGTTAGTTATCTTTCCTCCTCTCCATGCTGCTACCAAAGCTGCCACCCTGCGAGGTGACATATTTTTATCTATTTGTGGTTTTTTAAATTATGTATTACTTTAGTGGCTCCCAACTGGTTCCTTACTTTATGTCTCCACCTTATAGTCACTCTAGAGTCAGCCTTGGCAGGTCTCACTTCTAGGCAAAGGCTGTGGTCCTTTCTTTCTGGAGTGCTTACTCATCTCTCTTTCCACATAGCACAAATGCCACCTCTACATTAAAAATTCCCCAAATGTATGTCTGCTGTGTCTTTCCTCTCTTCTAAAACACCAAGCTCTTAAAATATAACACTAAGCACTTATCTTAATTACAAGCTATATGAAAAGTCTTCTTATAAATGGTAGATATATATTAGCACATAAAAACTTGGTGATCACTGATAGACTATTTTGCTAGAAAAAAAGCTCTTACAATTATATTTTCAGTTACTTTATAACTGTCTCTGAGCGTGATAAGTCCTATTCTCTTCTAAATATTCTGTCTAGATCTGCCTTTCCTTCATAGAACTGCAATTATTCTGTGAGTTTCAATCATTTATTGTTCCTTTTGCTCTTCCATTGTACTATTTACCATTCTCCATTATGTTTACAGAAATATTTATTTTCCAATGAGTGAAGATGAGCATAAGCCTTTTTAAATAATTTATTCATAAGGTCATTAAATTCTAGAGGGAATATACAGGATAATTTAGTCCAATTTCATGTCATCTGCTATGACCTCAACAAAACAGCCCAGGGAAATTCCAGTTTTAATTCTCTTAACCGTTTCCTTAACTTTATTTCAATGTAATAAACAACTATTGATCAGTTGCATCCCAGACATGCTTTAGGTGCTAATGGTACAAAAAATAAAAACACACAATACTTGCCCTTAATCTAATATAACCAAAAAACCACAAAACTAATCTAAAAATGTTTTGATAAAGTATTGTTAATAACTATGAAAGTATGGTGGGAAAAAAAGGAAAATTTGAGGGAGGATTAGGGTAAGTCTGAGCATCAGAAAGGCCATAAACTATGTGTAAGAACTCAACTGCAAAGAAATGGGAGTATTTTGTGGGTTTGGGGCCTCTTCTAAAGTGAAGAAGTGTCAAAAAAATTTAAATTTGGAAAACATGAAAGTAGTATTCAAAGACTTGAAAGCAGTCCAGTGATACTACACAAAGAATAGTATGGGGTGAAAGGATAAGACACAAGATTAGAAAGCCAGATTGAGACCAAATAACTATAAGAATGTCTGGAGTGAATTGCTAAGGAATTTGTATTGGTTAAATCACAATGAGCATTCATTCCAGTTTGTTTGAATACAGGTAGTGAAATGCATATCATATGGATTTAAAAAAATATTACTCTGGAAGAAATAATGGTTGTCTAAGGAATCAGAAGCCCAAAACTGAAGGCATAAATAATAGTTAAAAATTCATTGCAGTTGTTTGGCAAATGATATTAAAGGTCTGAAGTAGACAGTGGGGATAGAAGTGGAAAGGAGGACACAGAATTTAAAAACACTGGAAGAGGAAGAAGCAACCATCTAGATGATGGCATAAGAGCATCACACATCATTTCACCATAAAAGCAATGATAAAACTGGACAAACCTATCAAAGAAATTTTAGAACTCAATAAATTACATTATCCAAAATAGCAGTTTTAAACTTCACCTCCCTTGAAAAAAAAAACACAAGAAATTATGGCCCATGTACAAGGGAGGGTTGGTCAATAGAAACTGTTCCTGAGGTGATTGGTTATTGGACTTACCGAGAACTTCTGAACTAAAGGAAACCATGTTTAAGGAATTAAAAGAAAGTCTGATGATAATTAGCAATCAAATGCAGATAAGTAATGAGATAGACATTGTAAAATATAACCAAATAAAAATCTGGAAAATGTTGAAAATTCAATAACTGAAAAAAAAAAATAGTTAGAGAGAATCAAAAGCAGAGATTTGAGTTGACAGAATCTGAATTTTAAAATAGCTCAAATGTTGTTATCCGGCCTAAAGAAAAAATAATAAAAACATAAAAATAGAACCTTGGACTTGAGGAATATAAAGAACTCCAACATACCAATAATTGTCATCCCAGAAGGAGAGGAAAGAGAGTATGGGGGCAGAAATTTGTTTTGAGTACATAACAGTTGAATATTTCCCAAGTTAGAGTAACATCCTAAATCAAAACATACAGGAAGCTTAATGAATTCTAATTGGTCTGAGCTCACACCTAGAGATCCACACCTAGTAGTCAGCTGTTGTGAGAAAAAGAGAAATGTCTTTAATTACTTAAGAGTAGGAGGATTTCTTATATTCAAGGGATGCATAAAAATAAAGCTTACTTCATATCAGAAATAATGGTGATGAAAATTGGTGGGACAATAAATTCAAGCTAAACTCAAAGGGAGTAGAATGAAAAAAATGGGTATTACAGTGGAAATAAATAAATGAAAGAGAAAAATTAGAGGAAATGCAGGCAGACAAGCACATGTTTTGTAACCATCAACAAAACTGATAAACTATTAGCTATACTTAGCTATACTGACCAAGGGAAAAAAGTGAGATGGAGCAGACCATCAAAATCTGGATCAAAAGAGAGGATATAACCATTGACTTTTAAAAAATTTTAAAAAATCAAAAAAATCAATTAATACAATATTACTAAAATAAGGGGGAAATTCCACATGCATTCAATTGATGCATAAAAAGATTTTACAAAATCAACAACCATTAATGATAAAAATTCTCAAAATTAAAATAGAAGGGCATCTATTTAAAAAAACCCTACAGCTAAGATTACACATAGTGAAATAGATGTGGTGGGGAGATTGTGGGTGTATGTGGAGAGATTTAAATGATGTGTGGGTGCATGTGATATAAAGATGAGGTTCAAAGGGCAGTTGGAAGTGGAACTCATGGAAACTATAGCTAGTTTTACTGTGTAAATGAAATTGAAAGTATAGAGGAGACAAAGATTGTCTAGGAAAAAATAATTATAAGGAAAAAGTAAAGAGGACTGAGGATGAAACATTAGGAGCATCTATTGTTTAAGGAGCAGTGAAAGAAAAAAACCAGCAAAGAAATTTTTTCAATATTGATCAATAACAACTGATCAATCATACTCTGTGTCACTAATTTAGAGTTGTTTGAACCCATTATGTAAAAAGAAGGTCCCATTGAAAAACAATCGTCTCCTTTAAAATATCTCTTCTCTTCCACTGAGGTTGTCAAATGATGGGAACAAGTTTAGGATGGATACATAATCCTCCCTCCAAGGAAATGGACAGATTAACTGATCCATCCATGCTGCTCTTCTCACACACAACCTGGGAGATGACCTTCCCTAGCTGGAGTAGAATCCAGCATCAGTATCTCTTTCTCACGGCCAATGATGCTTTCTTATTTTCCAGAAGCATGGAAGAAATTCTCATAAATACAAACCACTTGGAGTGCTTCAGGGAGTTCCTCAGAGAACGAAAGGCAGAAACCCCATTGTTACTCCTGATAGCCATACAGAGGTTCAGTACAGAGAAAAATGAAAAGATTCAAAAGTCTCTCTTTGAAAACATAGTCAAGACTTTCCTCCATGGCAGATTACCTCCTGGTATGTATACTTTTCTCATGTTTTCTTCTCCCACAAGTACCTTAGGCAACTGCTGAGTGCTTGTCTCACGTGAGCCCCCAAGAGACAAGAACAGAGCAGTGATCACATGGGACAGTATTGAGATAAAGACTGAGAAGGAGAGTGAAAGCAGACAACAGTAACAATAAAACTCCAAAGAATAATAGCAGTGAAAGAAAGCCAGTGCAAGACACTTGGACTTCTATGTGAAATATATCCTTTCATTAACTTTTCGTCAACCCTGAGGTACTCCCTATGAGGTCCATTTTACTAATATGGACGGTGAAACACAGAGTTAACTAACTTTTCCAATGGGTAGAATGTGAATTAAAACTCAAGTTGCTTGACTCTCAAGTCAACTAGATTGGAGTTAAATACAAAAGCAAAAGCTTGTTGTTTTCAGCATTAGTGTCCATCACTGTTGGGGTGTAAAGAGAGTTGTACTTGGAAGGAGAACTGTCTCACTGAAAGATCTTTATTTCATACAGTTTGTCTTGTTTTCTTGGGTAATTCTGATCCATATAAATTCATCTTTACCAGAGCAGAAATTTCAAGTAAAGTCATTGACCTTTAGAATTCTGGAGCAAAATAAAAGGGGCTAGCATTAGCGCATCCTTGAATTAAACAAATCTATAGGAACACAATGAAAGCCTCCTATTTTGGCAGAGATGAAACAGATGTTTGGCAATTTTCTTGTGTTTGCTGCTTACTTGTGATAAATCATGATAAAGCTATAAATCTTAGGAAAGAAAAATAAGAGGTAACATTGATAAATCCTATTGGAGATATTAATTTGCTGGGCCCCAAGATATCAAATTCTGTACACTGTTTTGAATGAGATAGAAGAAAAAGAAGAGCATGTAGCTCTTGTCCTTGACACGTTTTCAAGTCTTATTTAATAAACACTACAGTCTTTGAACACCTGGAGAATCATATTGCCCTTATGTTTCTTATTTGTAATTTTGGATTCCCCATCTCTCCAGCAATTTAACTTTAATATTTTACTCTTCTGCTCACTTCCTATATCAGAAACTTCAAACTAATTGCAGAAATCAATCCTTTAAATATTGTTTCCCCTTAAGCAGTCATCTTTGACATTTTAATAGAACTAAACCAGGACAGAATTTGCACATAACAATCCAAATAGACTTTTGAGATTCTCAGGCAAATTGTGAAGGACTCGCTATCTAACCAGATTGAGAATAAAGGATGGTAAGACTTTATGGTTAAAAAAAAAAATCTTTAGTTACCTCAGATGATAGACAAAATTTTTATTGCTGTCTTGCATTTTTTAGAAGAAATGCTGCAGTGCAATATCCCTTTTATCAGAGAAATCATTCATAAGCGCGGCGTCAGCGTAGCCACATTGTTTATGCTCCAGACCTATGTCATGAAATCTCTAGAAGAAAAGTGGTGAGTCTTATTTGGTGAAGGCAATGTTTCTTTTTGGAGATGCCTATTGGCTTCTGCAAGTCACATTACTCAGAAACTTATAATCCATTCTCTTAATTCATTGCCACAACAGTCTTACAAAAGAGGGCAAGTTCATCTTGAACCTTCTTAGTCTCAGACTTTGTGGTTTGTCACCTCTACAAGGAAACTTACTGGAGTCCTGGGTGCCCCCAACGTCTCTGCCCTCTCCCAGGTTGGTGCACTGACTGGCACTGCTGCATTGATGAACAATTATGACTCCCCTGCCACGATTCTGCCAGCTTTGTGGGCTCCAGGCCATACACCTTCAAAAATTCAGATGTGTGGGGACAACCAGTTTTGTTCTGATGATATGCTGATGTGAATTGTGTGAGAAATTTATCCGGTTTCTGGTTGCTCTTTGAGGGAAGGTTTCCTATTGTTTTTTATTCTATGTCTGCAACTTTAATCTCCTGGCAGGTTTAAAGAATACCAAGACTTATTCCCACTTCATCATTCAGAGATGCAAGTCGAAATAAAACCTCCACCTAGGAAGCTCTCAAAGATAGTAGTAATCCATCTACATCAATCCCAGGTCAGTGAGGAAGACAGTCAGGACAAGATTTTGGGGACAAGGAGACCACTAGGTATCATTGAGCATACAAAAAAATTCACTGTTAGTTTATTTATCTACTACAGCAACTGTTTTTGGGGGTAGGTTTTTATATTTCCATTTTACATAGGAGGAATCTGAATCTCAGAGAAAATGTTACAGCAGGAATTTAAGAAAATCTTTCTCTTTATTATGTTTAGAATTAATTATTAGGCATAGGGTTCAGGTGCATGGGAATCAAAATATCAGCTGCAGGGGCCTCTTTGGTGGCGCAAGGGGTTAAGAGGCTACCTATGAATCTCACCGCAGCTACTGCAGCACAAGTTCGATCCCCTGGCCAGGGAGCTACCCACATGGCACAGCAGACCTCTCCTGACTTGCCTGCTGCTCTCCTCAGCAGTGTATTTCAGTCTGCCTGCCAGTGCTGTTCCCTGCTCTGTGTCTGGTGAATCCTCTCACCCTCCTCACCTCTGGCCTGTGCCCCAGTTCTTGTATGTATAAATAAATAAATCTTTTAAAAATATATAATCAGTTGCATTCTTGAAGGCCAGTCTAGTGGACATGGGTTGGCCATGAAGCCAAGTGGATTTGAGCATCTCCTTTGCACCCAGTTTAAATTTACTCACACATCTGGTCACTATCATAGTGGAACCATTAGGCCTCCACTTATTCTGTGAGCTTCTTACAGTGTGACAAAGGTCCAGTCTGAACAGAGGTATTCTGCAGGCCAGCAGCTAACAGAGATGGGATGACCACAGAGCATGCCTTATTCTGGTTTCCAAATTCATGAATTATCTAACTCTTTCTTTCTCCCATAGGAGGAGAGAAAAAGTGAAAAAAAAAAGTGATAGGAATCTTATTTAGGGAAGACTCTTTAAAAGGTTTGAGAAAAAATGCAAACTCCTCATATAATCATTTGCTCAATGTGCTATAGGAGTGCTTGTGTTATCAGTGCACTTTGAGCCTAGTTCTTTCTGACTGCCAAGATATGTTGAGAGATCTCTGCAAATCATCCCTAGGACAGTTGCTCCACTAATCCAGATATAAACACATAGGACTCCCTGCTTTCTCCTCTCTGTTTCATCCATACCTGAATGAATTCCATGTCAGGGCACCATGACATGTAAGAAATTTTTTCCATGTAGGATTGAGAACATCTGGAACAGGGACACTTTGTTTTAATTTCAGATCTTCCAGTTATTCTTAGATAAGAAAAGATAAAAAGAAGTCAACATGTATGTCACGCCTACCTTGCACCAGAGGCAAACCCTTGTGTTGGGGTTTACGTATATAATTACTAACTTTCATTGCAACCATGAAAGCAGTTGTTTTTCCACTTTATACATAGAAACACTGATATGCAGACTAAGTAAGGTGACACAAATTACAAAAATAGGGAGAAAGTAGGTTCCACACTCAAAGTTTCTGATCCCAAATCCAGTATTTTTTTGCACCTGACCACTGCCTCTCAAACCATGCTTATATTGGGACTCCTTCGCTGCAGAATGGGAGAAGGGAACTAGATCAACAAGATTCCTTCTGGCTCTACACGTCAGTTTTTTTCAAGGGGTAAAATGACTGGGGAATGGTCACTTGGCATCTGTTAAGAAACAGAAGAAACACAAAATGCATTCGTATGTGCATGTGTGCTGGTGTGCGTGCAAGTGGTATATGCATCTTGCATGCAATTTTATTTTTCTTTATTCCTTCAACATTTCAAAATGTGCCCAAGCTATCATTTATTTCCTGTGAGAATGGGCTCATCTCTGTCCTCTGTTTCTTCCTGATTTTAGCTCTCAAACTGCCTCTTCCAATCACATCATCTCAAATCTTCACTGTTGAAATACTGTGGTTAAAAGGGTGTCTCTGCTGACCACAGGCTTCCATGACTCAGCCAGAATTTTCTTCTACCCTCCAGCTGGATTAATCTGTGGAGAGTTATAAAAGCACTCTGACCTAAGTTTCCTCACCTTTCAACCAGAGCTAACAATTATTCCTTTTTGTGATAGTGGTATTGTAGGGTTAAATGTAAGGAAGGTCAAGTTTCTGACACAAAATAGACTCTCAGTGAGCAGAAGCTATATTAATGAATGTAACAGACCTCTCTCTCTTTTCTCAGAAAAAATGGTGGCTGAAATTGATCAGTTTCATCAGGAGCTTTTGTAAATACCGCAAATTTATGTCTGATCCGAGTAAGCGCCAGGAATTGGAAGACTATCTTCGCTTGGAAGTATTTAATAACAAGGAAAGTAAGTCTTTATTACCTTTACCTGCTGATGTTTTGGCCACAAAGTTTAGCCAAAGTTTAGATAAGAAGCTTCAGAGCTTATAGCTGTATGTCATGCTTGTGTTAGCCTGGGTGCTAGCAAAAACCCCATGACCTGGGGCAAAGCCAAGTCCACCCTCTACAGAGAGGATGTGACTGCACAGTGAGCCAGCCAGGAGGCAGGCAAGTAGGCTAGGGCATTTTACAAAACTTTCACTGTGTTGGTTCATTTGTCCTCCAAGAATTCTTTAAAACATTTTCTGCTTGTAATAAATGCTTTTAATAAAAAGATAATTTAAAATGATGAGAATTCAGGGCAGCGGAGGAGGTCTCCTACTTCACTCCTGGGAGGATAATCTAAAGCAGTCTAAAGGCACATTGGACTCCAAGGATTCTGTGACTTGGGGCAAAAACTAGATTACCTCCTGGACATCAGAGACCCACTCTGACTGCGTGGGACAGAAGAGATATTGAGAAAACTCAACTCTGTACAGCAAGACCTGGGTGGTGGGTGAGAAGTGCCTGGAGCCAGTGGTGGGGGTGAACCGGCAGTGCCAGCACACACTCCCTCCATGGGACAGTCTCATGAGGGCAGAGGTAGTTAGCATGAACCTAACAGTGGGGAGATACGTGTGAACGTGCTGGGATGAGCCCAGGGGACAGTGTCCCCAGCCAAGAAGACTAAGAAAAAAAACGGTGTTGCTCCCTCCACCATCCACCTCCTGGCTCAGGTTAATTCAGTGAAGCTGTGCCTGAAAACACCGTGAAGCTGCTCTGGAAGGTTAGCCAGCACTGCAGAGGCATGGGTCTGAAGCCCAGAAAGGAGAGGTATAAGTGATAACGGAGGCACAAGCCACCCCTGCTCACTACTTTCATTAGTGACTGGACCTCTTCAGGCCCCTACCCCAGGGCGGTTAGAGGCATTTACAAATTAGTTCTACATGACATATAGCGCCATCTACTGGAAATGTGGGTGTTCTGCACCTTTAAGACAAGAATGCTTAACAACCTACTTCAGAAAGTATTGGATAGGTGGTAAAAAATTCCTCAGGGGATTTTCAACAAAGAGAACAAATCTCCAGGAAAAAAATACAAAGACATGGGAGATCTTTCTTCCCATCAGACACAGAGTTCAAAATTACCATGAAAAAGAAATTCATAGAAATGGAAGAAAACAGAAATGCTGAGAAGAGAAAAGAAATGAGAAAAATAAATGAATGTCCTGAGAAATAAAATTAATGAACAGAAGATAATTGAACCTTTAAGAAATAATGGATATGGGCCTTCCTGGTGGCGCAGCGGGTTGAGCGCAGCGCTGTGAAGCTGTCCGCAGCCTCTGCAGCGTGGGTTCAATCCCAGCCACCTGGGGAGATACCCATGTGGCGTGGCAGGCCTCTCCTGTCTCGCCCGCTGCTCCCCTCAGCAGTGTTTTTCAGTCAGTCTGCCTGTTCTGCTCCCCACTCTGTCTCTGGTGAGTATTCTCACCCTCCCGCACATCTGGCCTGTGCCCGGGTTCTTGTATAAATAAATAAATCTTAAAAAAAATAACAAAAGAAATAATGGAGATACAGGATGTAAAGAACTAAAGAAAAGGTTAAAAATTTTTAGAGAAACCTATGGAAGTAGAATAGAACAAATGGAGGGGAGTTCCACATTCCTCTCCAATTATCTAGTGGTTTTATTCCCAATTTTTAATTACCTTTTAAAATTCATCTGATTAAACTATAATTTATGTATAATATTAATCAATTTTAAGTGTGCAATTTGATGTTTTGACAAATGTGGTCCCCTCCATAATGACAAACTAAAATATTTCCATTACCACAAAAAATTCTCTCATGTTCCTTTTTAATCAGCACCCTTCCCCTTTCACCACCATTGTGTAGTCTGGAAACCAGAGGTCAGCTTTCTATCACTATAGTTAACCTTTTCTAGAATTTAATACAAACAAATTATGCAGTATATAGTCTTTCATGTCTGGCTTCTTTTATTAAATATAACTCTTTTGAAATTCAACTATGTTGTGGTGTGTATCCATAGTTCATTTCTTTTTAGAGCTAAGTAGTATTACAAATTAATGTGTCATAATTTTTTTTAAAGATTTATTTTATTTATGCAAGAGCTGGGGTACAGGCCAGATGTGCGGGAGGGTGAGAGGATTCACCAGAGCCAGAGCGGGGAGCAGAACAGACAGACTGACGAAACACACTGCTGAGGGGAGCTGCGGGCGAGACAGGAGCGGTCTGCTGCTCCATGTGGAATTCTCGCCGGCCAGCCGGGATGGAACCCACGCTACAGAGGTTGCGAACAGCTTCACATAGCAGGGCTCAACCGCCTGTGCCACCAGAGAGGCCCTGTCATAATATTCTTATCCATTCACTAATTGATGGACATGTGGGTTGTTTCCAGTCTAGAGCTATCATGACTCAAGTTACTATGAATATTCAAGCAGAAACCTTTTCTCTTGGATGGAATTTCCTAGGAGTGGAATGATTGAGTCATGTGGTAAGGGCATGCTAACTTTATAAGAAACTGTCAAATTTTTCCAAAGACTGTATCATTTTTGCATTTATACCACTGATGTAACAAAGTTTCAGTTGTTCTACTTTCTTGCCAGACTTTGATACTATTAGTCTTTTTAATTTTAGCTATTTTTTGGTGAGTTGTCTTTCCAAAGTTTTGCCTATTATAAAAATTGGATTGTCACCTTAGGTTGAACTATAAGAGGGCTGACTATAATCTAGATATATTCTTTGATATATATATATTTAACAAATATTTTCTCCCAGCTGGTAACTTGCCTTTTCATTTTCTTTGAAGAGAATTTTTAATTTGATAAATTTCTTTTAATCAATTTTTTCTTCTATAGTGTATGCATTTTATGTTCTATTTATGAATATTTTCCTAATCCACTTTAGTAAGATTTTATTCTAGAAGTTTTATCATTAAAACAATTAATTAGGTCTATTTATGTACGCTGTGTGCTATTCTTCTGATACATATGTCTATCTATACACTAATACTGTTGATCACTGTAGTTTTATAGTGAATATTATACATAGGTAGCATTGTTTTCTCTTAAATTAGTGACATATTCCAAATGTTGATGTTATATTTTCATTTACATTCAGTTCAAAAATTATTTTCAATTGTCTCTTTGATATCTTATTTGACCCATGGTTATTTAAACATATGCTATTTGATAAGGGACTGGTCACAAAGATTTACAAAGAGCTGATGAGGGCCTCCCTGGTGGTGCAGGGGGTTGAGCGCCTCACTGTGAAGCTGTCGCAGCCTCTGCAGCACGGGTTTGATCCTGGCCAGCTGGTGAGAATCCCACATGGTGAATTAGACCTCTCCTGTCTCGCCCGCTGCTCCCCTCAGCGGTGTATTTTGTCAGTCTGCCTGTTCTGTTCCCAGCTCTGTCTGTGGTGAATCCTCTCACCCTCCCACACATCTGGCCTGTACCCCAGTTCTTGTATAAAAATAAATAAATCTTAAAAAAAAAAAGAGCTGATAAGACTCAATAAGAACAAAGTGAACAGTTCAGTCAAAACATGGGCAGAAGAACTAAAAAGACACTTCTCCAAAGAGGAAATGCACATGGCTTACAGGTATATGAAATAATGTTGAACATCACTTGTAATAAGGGAAGTGCAAATCAAAACCACAATGAGATATCAACTTATACCAGTGAGAATGGCACATATTTAAAAACAAAAGCAAAAACAGGAACCAACAAATGTTTACAAAGATATGGTGAAAAAGGAACTCTCCTACACTGCTGGTGGGAATGCAAACTGATCCAGCCACTATGGAAAGCTGTGTGGAGGTTTCTCAAACTACTAAAAATGGAGCTTCCATGTGACCCAGCAATTCCACTCCTAGGAATCTACCCAAAGGATACAAAAACATTAATTTCTTTCTTATTTAATTCTATTACAATTAGAGAATGTTCTTTATATGACCCAAATCTCTTATTGATACATTTTATGAACCAAAGTCAGGTCTGTCTTGACAAATATTTCATGTGCACTTGGAAGCAATTCATATTTCACTCTCATAGTGTTCTGTAAGTTAGGTCATGTTGGCTAGTAATGTTCAAGTCTACTATAGCTTTGCTGATTTTTTTCCTTGTTCTGTTTTTCAAAGAAGATGCTGAAATATGCAACTATAATTGTGGACATAGTACTCAGTTGATATTTATTTATTTAAGTTTGTGTGGTATTCTACCATTTAAGCAGAGAGCTTTGTCAGCACTCCTTCGAGTCTAAGTGAAAAGCTGAGCCCAGTGCCCAGAGTATCTATTTCAATAGGCCCCCAAGTGGGTCCACAGTTTCCTCTCTTCCTTTCAGTTATGCCTAGATTGAAGGCTTCAGACTTAAGAGTGACTTGATAACTAGATTTTAATTCCTACCTCTTTCTCTCTTAGATTACCCCACCTCACCAAATGTATCAGGACGCCAGACAACAGTTTCCACAAATATCCGGGTCTCAGAACAGGAGAATGGTGATATAACCCTTGTGAAGCGTCGAATTCTTGGCCATAGAATTGTCATTGTCAACTTTTTAATCAATGATATGTATTTCCTTTCGGAAATGGAGAAGTAAGTTTCACATTTTACCTTTCCCTTGTGGCTCTCTCTATTTAGTGCTCTGGGCAAAGATGAATGGTCTGTAGGTGGCGGGGATTTCTGTTCTGCCTGGCAGGCATCTCCATGAGACCTACCGCATGCTGTCGCTAGGTCATTGACTTCTCCTTCCCTTTGGGTCCTGCAAGCTCCTCTGTCTTCCCAGACGAAAATTCCAGAGATCCTGATATTGAAATGCACTTACTTAAACCCAGGAAGTGAGGCACTTTATTTCCTATTATTTATTAATGTGATGTAAACCCTGTTATATAGCACCATTGGGCCAATAGTTCTTTAAAGAACTATGATAATAAAATTGTGTGTCAGTGTGTACAGCAGACATTTTTAAGTTAAAACATTTACTGTACATTCACTCACCTGTCAAATTTTTGATGTAAAATCAAAACCATCTTACCAATTAGATGGAGTCCATATAATTTTCTTCCATAAACTATACCCAAAAGTCTATATGCTAATTCTAATTTTGATGTCTTTAAAGTACAGTACTGCAAAGCAATTTAACCCTCTGGATTTTTACGCATGTTACTTTTTTTAAATTTTCTTATTCCACCTAACTCAATAACATTTTTTAATAAGTTTAAATCTGTAACCCTCCAAGTACCTAAAAATGGTGTTAAATGCTTTATCTCAGTTTTAAATAAAATGGAAAGTAAAGAAGTAAATAAAATAAAAAGGCGTGATTGTAATGAATGAATGAATAAATAAATAAATAAATGCAACTTGCTTTTAATGAGACATTGCAAAGAATTCAAATACGTTTTCACAGAAACAGCAAATACCTTTACTTTTCATGTTCAAATTTTGTCAATTTTCATAAATTACAAATTACTTGTTATAAGTGCTACAAGCAGCAATATTTTTGAAGAAACACGAATGATTCTCAGCAAATATCTGCATCAACTAGTTAGAGAAACGCATGTCCAGAGCATGCACTACCAGTGTATACAGTTGGCATGCTAGAGGCATTAGTCAGTGTGTTTTTCACAAGTACAGAGCACCTGGTAACTGCACATATTTGGTTAAGAGATTTTCCCCTGCAATCCAGTGAGGAATTGCTCAGTTCTACAGAAACTTCCTGATTGTTTACTCATTCTTGGATACAGAAGTTAGCATTGGAGATGCAAAAACAACTGAAGACATGCTTTCTAGTCCTCAAGATCCCCATAAACTAATGGGAATGGCAGAGAAGACACATATAAGCACTAGGAAGGGGAATGATAAGTTCTCTGGTTGAGTCAGGAACAGGAAGAACATTTAGGTAACTGAGCCCTCAAGTATAGTTTTTGGGAGACAAGTCACCTAGACTGAATTTTGAAGGATGAGTAAGGGTTAGTGGGATTTTTTAAAGTGTACTAACTGTTCTCTGCATAGCAGCCAGAGTAGCCTTTTAGCAGTGTAAACCAGATTCTGTCACTCTTCTGCCTAAAATGTAGTGTGGGTTTCCCATGATCACAGGAACAATGTATGTCAAACCTCCTCACATTGCAGAAAGGACCATGCATGAGTAGGACCTATATAAATGCTAACTTTTGGGGCTCAGCTCATTCTACTCACCACTTGCCCCATGGTCCAGCTATGGGACACTGCATGCCTAGCGAACTGGGGGAATGCTTTATAGCCTTTGCACTTGCTGCTCCCTCCGCAGGAAGGATCTTTTGTCCTGATGTCTTCAAATGACTGTCTTTTGCTTCCCATTGTTCAGACAGCCATTACCTTCCCAACTGCATCATCCCTTTTCAGTCTCCATAAATTTCTGCTGGATATTTAATTATTCCTGTATATATTTAAATATCTTCTCCCTATCATCGATTATGAACTTCTGGAAAACAAGGCTGTGTTACTGAGTTCATTCTGAATCCCTGCTCCTAGAACTAAACCTAGCACAGAATAGACCCTTTATAAACTGATTTCATAAGTAACTGGATACACAAACATGCATGCAATGGAAAGACCTTGGTATTCTATCAGTACAATTTAAAATAAGTAATATTTTAAATGGCCTGAGAAAAATAAGCTGTGCTTAAATCAAGATAAAGTGTATCTGATATTAATGGCTAATAATATAATAGAAGAGACAGAAAATAGAATATTTTAAAATATTTTCTTCTAAGAGAGAGAAAATAATATAGCCATTACTAAGGACTAGGGAAATAGGAGAATAGGGAGTTAGTCTAAAGAATATAGAGCTTTAATTTAGAAAGATAAAAAGTTCTGGAGATGGAAAGTGGTGATGATTACAATGTGGATGTATGTATATGCCTCTGAACTGCACATTTAAAATGGGTTAAAATGGTATTTTTTGTTATGTTTAATTTAGTATAATAAAAAACTTAAGAAAAGGAATCAGTTATTTCAGAGGGTGGTGATAATTATGAGACCGTAAGCACAGAAGGGGAAGAGCAATATAATTTTTGCCCTTGGAGTATCAAGATCTGGGATGGGTAAAGAAGGGAAGGTGAAATATGTGAGTTTATGATGAAGAAATACACTTGAAGAAACACTTAGCTTATTGTCTCACATGATGCTCAACTAGTATTTGTTAATGGATACAATATGCGTGACTGAGTGAAGTCACCTGGCTCGCTCATGGGTCTGGCCAGCAAACCTATTTACTCACTGCTATCATCTTCTCCTTGCTGATCTCCTACTTCCTGCTTCTCTTTAGATTTAACAATTTGGTGAGTTCAGCACTTGTGCTGCAAGTCAACCGGGCATACAATGAGAATGATTTGATCCTAATGAAGTCCAAAATTAGCATCATCATAAAGCTCTACCTGCATGCTGAGTTCTCTCCAAAGCTGAGGGTAAGGGGAACTCCCACTCCTCTCCAGCCTTTCTTCAAGGAGCATTTTACGCCCACAGGAACCCCAGAAGCTAATTGTCAGTTACGTCCTAAATCCTGGGTCTACCAGATGTCCTTTACCAAGCAGCTGCTGCAAAAGTTTCTGCCTTTTGGGAAGGGGTGGTCTTGAAGGTCCTGGGGGTCAACAAAGGTTTCTACCTTCCTTGGAACCTCTGCCAGTGACAGGCTCCCACTCTGGGTAGGTGAACATCTCTGAGTCCCAGAAGGATGCCATCCTTGCTGCCATTGCAGAGGGCCACCTAAGTCGGAACATCTTCTACGGGCCTATCATGTCTCTCTTCCCTGTCATTATGTACTTCTGGAAAAGGTAACTATCTCCCCTCACCTGAAGACCATGAGATCAGGAAAATGTGTGACTTTTAGTGAGTTCTCTGTCTTCCTCTAGTCCTTTTTCAGTTTTCCAGTTTTTTGGGAACTAAAACAGTGTATTTTCATGTACTTTCTACACTCCATCTCTCACATGAACATTAAATCAGAGTATAAAAGACTTGGGATCAGAATGTCTGACTCTCACCTTTTCCTAGTGCTTGGGTGTTAGATTTTCTTGGGTATAGGTTTATCACCCAAAGGTAAGGGTCTACCACAGCTATTTGGGGAGCATCTCTATCCAAACTAATGCAAATGAGCTCATGCCTAAAAAAACTTCATGGACAGTAGGACAGAAGAGTTTTGCTCTATTATGCCCCAAACCTAGAATTACCACTAGGGACACAGTCACTAGATACTTCAGTTTTTCAAGAGGAGCTTGAAATTCAGATTTGTATATCATATCTTCTAACATAAAAGTGGCAAATGTAGCAAGTAACTCAAAACAAAAGCATGGTGAGGAACCCATGAATGTCAGAAAACAAAAGTGAAACAAAACAAAAATGAAACCTACAGAACAAAGACAGCCTGTGGCAGATGGGCTTCTATCTAGCCAGCAAGGATCACGTTGAGAGACTGCCCTCAATTCTTCCAGCTATTTATATTATTGCATGATACCTGACTTAGGAGTTGCCCTCTCCTATAAAAGATATTACTGTATTAAAATATAAATGTAAATATTGCTTTCCAATCTCCAATCTTAAATATAAAAATCTAAGTTCAAGATAACAAAGTTAGCCTTTTGGATGTTAGTTGTTATCTAGCACTTATTTCTAGACTTCAGTCTAGTACTCCTAGTCAGGACTAAATAGAAGTTAATCTTTAAACTTTCTGGAGGATAAGGTTCTCCTGGGAAGTATAGGCTTGAATCAGTGCTCCTTTTTACCTATTTAAGAAGCATTGGGGAGCTTCAGAGAGGTTTTGAATTACTAAACCTCATGCAACTGGTTCTTCATTTACTTTTCTAAATAACTTATGTAGAGTTTTGTGTTCTGAAAACTGTATCCCCATATATTTTCTCAGATGAAGCTCATAAGATCCACCTGAGGTGGGTGGGGCAAAGTATTTTTATCTCTATTTTATAGATGAGGAAACCGAGGCTAAGGGGCTTGCCTAGGATCTACTTGGTAAGTGGTAAGCCAGTATTAGAAACCAGGTATGGCATGATGTCACCAATGACAACACAGGTCATCCCTGATTTTACTCTTTCCCCTTAGAAGAATACCAACAGCTACTCAAGAACAAGACACAACTGAACAAATCCTAGAACATGGGGGTGGGAGGGTGAGGCTAAAACATCCCCTTGCACCACACAGACCAAGAGTGACTACATTAGAAGGGTAAGAAAAGTTGTGACATGTTGACCTCATGGTCTTTCCCCCAGGCCAGTGCATTACCACATAGAAAGTTCTCCCTTGTTCCTCCAGAGAGAAAAGAGAACCCAGGGAAGACAGCCAGTACCCACTCCCTGCATTGTGGGTCACGTTGTGGGATCCCCTACTCTGATCTTGGCCCACAGTGATTGGAGGGGAATCTGAAGGACTCAGCCAATTGGAGTTTTACAGATGGATCTTGGCAGAGTGCAGTGCCCAAGTGATAATCCCAAATAGCAGCTTTGCTCATCTGCAGAACCATGTTGGTGGTTCCCTGATGAGGGACCTTAGTGAATGCGGATCTGCCTGATTTGGCAAATGAGGATTTTGACAAGCTCTTAAGCCTGATTTGCTCACACACCCAAGAAAGGTTTTGAGTCAGAGCTTTGCTTGTGGAGAGCATCTCTCAGGCACATCTCACTGGAGAGGCTAGTGGGAGCACCTGAAAGCTGTGAAGACCAGCAACACTTGAGTCAAGAAACAGACAGCAGGGGCTGATCCCCTTGAAGCAAAGACAGTACTAGGTAGAAAAGTTTCCTGTGCTATATACACAGGCAAAAGAATTAATTCATAGCCAAGGCTGATGTCAATGGCAGACAACAGTTGGATAAGACTACTGGTTTGGTTTTCTATACAAGCTAATTGTGGGATGGACTCCTGTTATCTGAATTCACCCAACTGGAGAACCTGTTTTTGAACTTGAAATTGAAGGTTACCTGGAGTAACCCCTCCCCACCTCACCCAGGAAAAGGAATTGAGACACAGTCCCATCCACTGTGACTCCTTCAGTGGGACCAGAGGATGGGAAAGAACACCCAGAATCTGTGAGGGCCAGTGGTACTCAAGCCAAGAGAAGGGCAGCAGGGTTGATAGTTTCCAGAACAAAACCAGTGGAGCTCTTTGGCCAGGGACCTTAGGGCTAGGGTTGGCTTCAGTCAAGACAACAATCAATTTTACCCACTCTAGAGCTGCTACTTCTGTTGCACCTGGGCAGAGAATTTAATTCATAGTCCTGCTTATTACTGGATATAGTCTTCACCCTGTTGGATCAGGGAAATTAAGAAGCATAAAGGAAACTTTGTTCCCATTCAATATCCCAAATTATAGGTGCACTTGAAAAAAGCAGAATTCATGATACTGTCATGTGCAGAGCAAGACCACTTGGTGCAGCCAACTCTAAATTCATTCAAGGAAGCAGGTTCTACTCAAGGGAAAGTGCTCTTAGGAATAACATAAAAGGCACAAGGCTCTCAGTAAGGGACAGGATGGAAACCAGGGACTGGGTCTTAAGAGGATTTCAGTCAAATGGTTTGGCTGCATCAGGTGAGGTTAGTTAGGAAACTCATACTCTGAGGCTCAAGCACACCCCAGGTGTTCACCACACTCCAGGTCTGGGTACAGCAGATGCTTTACAGACACTGTCCATGTGTGGTTCCAGTAGGAAGTTCAATATACTGCCCATGCCAGGCCCTCTCTGTCCTCTCTGCCAGGGCCCCAGCCTGCTCCCCTGTGCTCATGTTCCAGCCCCTTAGCTGGTGGTTTCCTTCCCCATGATCAGAAGCCATTTTTCTCACAGGTTTTGTTCCTGGAAGGCGATCCGTTCTTATTTCCAGTACAGGGGGAAGAAGGTCAAGGAGAGAAGAGGTTTTCCTAAACCTGTGTACAAGTACCCTCCGTTGAGTGGAGGTAAGCTCCACCAGGACTCACAGCTCCCTCCTCTTACAAACAAGACTCACGGAGGGAAAAGGAGGGCCAGAGGCCCAACCACTAGGGTGTTTCACAAAGGCTTCACAACAGGTGTTTTCTGGAGTGGAAATCTCATTAACTCAGGCCTCAGAGGGCAGAGCACTCAGGGTGAGGGTTCATGGACAATTTTCATGCTAACAGAAGGGGTCTCTGCCTGCCTTGGGCTTGCAGATCACAGTCTTCTAGGGGCCTTAACGGGGGTGGTAAGACTCATATCCACAAAGAACAGGTGTGATATTTTCCACTCTGGTCAGTTATGCAGAGTAAGGCTAGAAATCAGTCAGATTCTGATTGGTGGCCCATTATCCAAATTAGGCTAGAAGTCAGGTTCCTATTGGTGCAATAATACACATATCAAGTGAAAAGTTAGTGAAGCAATGATTTCATTTCTGGGTGCTTTGAGGTGGACTGGCTTTGTTCCAGTTCCTTGGTTAAGGTGGATGTTCTAAGTATTGTGGTGTGGACATGCTTGGGGCCCAACACTCAACAACTTCTGGCACTGTTTTAGTTACCCAGACTCATGTGATACAATTATTTCCAAATGAATACACACACACACACACACACACAAACACTTATATTGTTAAACAAGAAAATTAAAAGTTGACAGTATGATTTTAATGTAGTACATACAGTGTGTCCTCACTTGTCAACAGTAGATTCTTGGAAATTAGAAATTGAAGTGAAATGATGTATAATGAAACCAGTTTAACCATAGCCTAGTTGAGATAAACAAGAGTTAAGTTGCTACAGCATATTTCTACTCACAAAAACATCACTCATTTCTTAATCAAGACTCCAGACACTTCTAATGTGAGACAATCATTTGTGTTCACTCATTCTTCACTCATTCATTCATTTCCAGCCTGCTTACTTCAGTTCAGGGTCTCGAGCAGCCACAACCTATTCCAGCAGCTCAAGGCACAAGGTGGAACCTTATTTTGGACTGGACATTCTTCCATTCCAGAGTGCATCTCTCTCTCTCTCTCTCTCTCTCTCTCTCTCTCTCTCTCTCTCACACACACACACACACACACACACACTACTGCAACTGGGACCACAGAGACATGCTAATGAACCTAAAGTACACATCTTTGGGATAGGAGAGGACGCCAGAGTGCTCAGAGAAAACCTGCAAGAACATGGGGAGAACATGCTGATTCCATACAATGGGCCTGGCTGGGAATCATTTATTTTTTTTCTCATCAATGTTATAATGAAATGATGTTATTTAAGGACCTGCTCTGTGTGTGTGTGTGTGTGTGTGTGTGTGTGTGTGTGTGTATTTACATATATCACTTTAATGAAAGCATGGGAAAATCTTCAAAATAAAGGTAGTGTTAATTAGATTATTGGATTACTGGTGAAAAGTTTATATAATTATCACCAACAGCTCATTAATGATGCATTATTAATATATATTACTCATATGTATATAAAATACATGTTTTTCTTAGCCCAGAGCAGTTAAACTCAGTCCCTTTCCCAATACCTGCACTAAGACAGGCACTTGAACAAAAGGGAATTTTAAAGAAAGGGGGATGGTGCCTGGGGCAGCCTGGTGAGAGCAAGACTGGATTTTTTCACAGTGAAAAGTTCCGGGAACCACAGAGAACAGGTCTGTGAATCTGGAGACAGTGCAGGAATCAGAGCAAAGTATAGAGCTAAGAAGGAAGTCTTAAAAACAGCAGAAACTCTCCCAAGATAGAGCTAATCTTTCTGTTGTTTCAACCTTGAGACCTAAATTCATCTCTGGCTTTCCTGAACAGTCAGGAAAACAACTCCAGTCTTTTCATATGTGGTTCAAAATGTCCTTGTGGGTGAATAGGATGGGGCAAGGTAGCGGAGAGAACGGAATAATAAGAGGATAAGGGGAGGGAAGTGGGCAGCCAGGGTGGGCAAAGATACTCATAGGAACAAGAAAATGTCTTTGATTGGCAGCCAAGAACTCCCAGTCATTCATTCATTTCTCATGCTGAGCTCAAGGAAAGCAAACTCCCAAATCTTTTCTGGTATTGAAAGTTGGAAGATGGCAAGAGAATGCTCTGAGTGGAGGGGTCAGGTCACTTGGGTTTCAGACCTAGAGAACCATGGTGTCCCCCAAGGGCACTTGGGCATTTTATTTCCCTCTCAGCCTCAGACTCCCATTGTGAGATACAGAGATTTGAATTTAAGTAACATTCTATCAAACATCCTGTAATTCAAGGAATATTAAACAGAAGTGCTCTTGCTTACTTAGATTAACTTTGTTGGGTGTTGTGAAGTGTTTTTTTTTTTTTACCCCCTCTTTCCCTCCACAGGAGACAACCCCATCTTAAGATTCACCTTGCTCAGAGGGGTTGAGTGGTTTCGGCCTCAACAACGTGACATAATAGCAGTCCAAAATTGTAAGTTGGAGTTCGAATACAACTAGTATCAAAAGGGTGACTCTAAGTTCAGCTTGGCCAATCTCCTTGTTACAGAGCAGGGAGAGGGGTACCTTAGAACCCCCAAACCTGTCTGCTCTAAGTGGGTTCTGCCATTCACTACATCAACACAAAACATATAAGACTTTAATGGAAAGGAACTTTAACACAATTAGTAAACAATACAGAAATGACAAAGAATATAGTTTCTAAATCAAGCATCCAAAATCACCCATCACCTCGTGGATAAAAGTCTACCCAAAAGGAAAAATACCGGATGGTCTCACTCATAGCAGGAATCTAGAAAACTTAAATAAGGGACTAGGAAAAAGAATAACTATAAGAAAGAAAATATCAAAATCAACAAATAACTATGAACACGAGACACTCTATGGGGGGTGGGGGGCGGGGAAAGGAGGGCTTGGGGTAAAAATAAGGGGGTTGTAATTGTATGGGGAATATAAAAATAAAATTTAAATTAAAAAAAGAAAAGTCTACCCAAAGGGGATTGGTCCAGAGCAAGGCCCAAAAGCCTGCCACAGTCTAAAGAATCTTTCAGTGGGGACCCACAGAAAAGGATCAGAAACAACCAGACAAGTCTGGAGGAAAAGAGAAAATCAAAATCAAGATAAAAGCTGCCATTGTCACCTCCCCATGGGTCTCTCACCCACATCTGTTTCAACCAATCCACGACCAAAAGGCAAGTGCAGTTTCTTCACGTGTCTATCTGTTCCATGCACCTCCTCCAGGTCTCCTTCTTGCTCTCCATCCTACTTCCTTCCTCAGTCTCTTCCCCAGCTTCTTCTCTTCCCTGCTCAGCTCCACTCTACTTTGGGCTGGGCAGGGAACCTGGAACTTCCCCTAGTCCTGGGGACTGCCCTGTTACATCCTTAGTGACCAGAAAAAGACTGAGACCCCCAAATATGAGGTGACTTGTTCAGTATCACAAAGCCTATGAGTGGCTGGGCAGGAATTGGGAAGGGTCCTGGGTATAGCTCTCATTTGAATAATCTGAATAATCATGTCTTTGGGATTCTTTTCTAATCTTTTGAAGACAAATGCCTTAGATTTCTCTATATTTCTACTGGTCCTTTGTTCATTTCCAGGTATGCTGGGATATCTTTATTAGAAGAAAATCATACCATCCTAAGTGTTACTTTCCCCTCCCACTGAGAGCAAATGCTACTTGAACAAGACCCCAGCCCCATACCTCCCACTTCCTGATTCTCTTATCCCTGATAAGAGAATTCTCTTATCTCTTATCTCTGATCTTTTATCTCTGGTCCTAGCCTCCCATATTGTGGCCTTGTGATATCCTTTTTCTTCCCCATAATCAGCCTCAAGGATTCAAATCTCATTTGCCTGCACTAAATCTGCGTTTGCGTCTACATGATATCTCCCAAGACTTTTCTTTCTATCTAAATTGTCTTTCTATCCTAATTCTACTTCTAGTTTGAGGACTGCATCCTGCCTCTCACAGGCATGAATGCCAACGTGCCTGGCCCATGCATTACATATGTCCCCTTCTTACTTCATGGGAGTGCCCACTATGAAACCACGATCCATAGGATCCAAACAGGAAGTCTTGTGATTCCAGTGTCCCTCTGGTCTACTCCTTTTCACTTCCCTGGGTCTATAAGGTTGACTTCATCACCTTTGCATCCAGATGACAAAAAACATCTAGGATAAAAAATATAGCAGCATCCAAACCAGGTCTCTTGGCTGTCCCTGGAGTATTGCTACTTCCCCTTCACACTCCAAACACCTGCCCTGGGGGTGTTCCTGGAAACTGTCCTGGAAACTTCCCAGACTGGAGGTCCTCCAATGACCTGTGTCCTGAGTTCTGATGCACTTTTTTTTTTCTGTGTTTATTTTTAGCTTCATCAAGCAACATGACCCTGACAAGAAATGGGCTCTCCAACATGCACTTGTATCCTGTCATCGGGTAGGCATGAGCTGGAAATCCTCTACTTTAATTCAGGGCTGGTTTGTCCAAGTGTACAATGAGAGGTGGGAGAAACTTCCCAGGGCCAAGACTTCACTCCACATGCTGATAACTCTCCTCACACAGAACGAAGACACCAAACCTGGCTCTTCCAGAGACGCCTGTGCTCTGGGTAGTTCGGGAAGGGTTTCTCTGTGGGCACTCTTGCCCACCTCCCACTAGAACAGACACTTTTAAGAAACCACAGTCTTTGTTAGGGGGAAATGATGTCCTTGACCCACCTTTCAGTAGAACACTATTACTGGGAGAAGCATCCTAGGTGAGCTTTTATTGTCACCACCCCTAATATTCCTGTACTTCAGGGTAAGGTATATAAGATGGGAAAGAAAGAGGAGCTATCGTGATAGACAAGATATTGACAATAAAACAAAATGGACTTGAGTTTTCCTTACTTCTGTACAAGCATCAGAGTGAGACTGAAGCTAAGTTAGGGTTCTGGAAGAATCCTGAGAGGGTACTGGAAAACATAGCAGAGTAGTGTCAAAGAGCTGCTTGGTCTGCGACCCTCAACAGATGAAGAAACTGACAAGGCTGAATGTTTCCACACTTTCTGCAAGTCCAGAGAGGACTTGGAGCTTCAGGGTACATGTGCCAGTGCTGGTGCCTGGGAGACAAGGCAGGTACTTTGCAGCTCTTTGTACAGAAAGGTAATGTGTGGCTTTAGAGGTAATAAACTCTTGGGGAAGAAGGTGAAAATAAAAATGTAGAGGAGGGTCTCCCTGGTGGCACAAAGGGTTAAAATGCAGCACTAAGAAGCTATCCTCAGTCCCTGTGTTAGGGGGAAATGATGTCTACAACACCTGTAGCACGTGTTCGATCTCCAGCCAGGGAGGTGACCCACATGGAGCAGCAGACCTCTCCTGTCTTGCCCGCTGCTCCCCTCAGCAGTATGTTTCAGACAGTCTGCCTGTTCTGTTCCCCACACTGTTTCTAGTGAATCCTCTTACCCCTGCACCTCTGGCCTGTACCCCAGTTCTTGTATGCGTAAATACACAAATCTTTTTTTAAAAAAAGAATGTAGAGGACTCTATCTTGCAGGCAAAGGGTTTGGGTTTGGGTTTTGACATTGGTTTTCCTAAAGTGAATGATGGCAATGAAGCAGCAGAGAGCACAACTCCAGTTCCTCAGCACCATGATCACTCACCACTGTTTTCTTTCCCTTTAGAAGAAAGGTATCCAGTATCAAAAAGGAGAAGTAATCAAGTCAGACCCCCAGCAGAGGCACATCATCTCTAGGAAGCCTCCTGACGCTGATGGAATCTTTTCTGGTCAGAAATGAAATGCCCTGGTGCCATTTGCTGTGGAGAGATCATAGGGGTGACAGCTCAGACACAGACTCTTGGGACTAGATGGCAGTGGGTAAGATGTGGGCAGAGAGTATGTGCAGAAGAACTTCCACCCTCTCCAAGCTAAAGGGTTCTATTGGAGACCATCTCTCCACTGGGAGTATATAGCAGAACACCTTGCTCTTGGGGTCAGGAGGCCTGGGTTTGAGTCTCACTCTGCAGCTGCATGGCCTTGAGTAAATCCCTGGCCCAGGGTTCTTTTTTTTTTTTAATTTTTTTTCATTACATTCTCTTTTTTATTTTATATATTTTTACATCATTTTTCATTTTTGCACAATGTATGCATTTTCTTTTTTTTTTCTTTTTTTTTTTAATATTAAATTTTATTTTTATATTCCCCCATACAATTGCAAACACCCCATTCTGACCCCAATCCTTCCCCTCCCGCCCCCCACCCCCCAAAAAGTGTCTCTGGTTCATAGTTTTTTGTTGATTTTGATTTTCACTTTCTTATATTCATTTTCCTGGTCCCTTATTTAAGTTTTCTAGATTCCTGCTATGAGTGAGACCATCCGGTATTTTTCTTTTTCTTTTTGGCTTATTTCGCTGAGCATGATCCCTTCCAGTGCCATCCATGTTGCTGCAAATTGCATGTGTTTATCTTTTTTGAATGCTGAGTAATATTCCATGGTATATATGTACCACATCTTCTTGATCCAGTCATCTATTTTTGGGCATTTGGGTTGTTTCCAAAGCTTAGCTATTGTAAACAGTGCTGCTATAAACATAGGAGTGCAGGTGCTCTTTGGAATTGATGTTTCTGTGTCCTTTGGGTAAATACCTAGGAGTGGAATTGCTGGATCATATGGAAGCTCTATGTTTAGTAGGTCCAGAAATCTCCACACAGCTCTCCATAGTGGTTGGACCAGTTTGCACTCCCACCAACAGTGCACAAGAGTTCCTTTTTCTCCACATCCTCGCCAACACAATGTATGCATTTTCATCTTGGTTATAGTCCCCATACAATTCCCACCCCTTTTATTTTGACCCTAATCCTTCCTCCCCTCCCCACCCCTGTAGTATGTCCCTGGTTTATAGTTGCTTGTTGATTTTTTCATACATTCTGTTGCTCTCTAGATGATCTGTTTTCAAACTGTACTCTATGGATGTGCTTCACAGGTGTAGGTGTGTGGTTGGCATGAAGGAAGGGTTGAAGGGGGGAGTTTAACCCCTCACCTTTGCCATCATCACTTCTTTTAACCACAGCAGCTCTTTCACCAGTTCAGGTATTCACATTTTGCACAAGATTTTCTTTTTCTTTTTTTTTTTAATAAATTTTATTTTTATATTCCCCATACAATTGCAACCACCTTATTTTGACCCCAATCCCTCCCCTCCCCACCCCCCATAGAGTGTCTCTGGTTCATAGTTTTTTGTTGATTTTGATTTTCACTTTCTTATAGTTATTCATTTTCCTGGCCCCTTATTTAAGTTTTCTAGATTCCTGCTATGAGTGAGACCATCTGGTATTTTTCTTTTTCTTTCTGGCTTATTTCGCTGAGCATGATCCCTTCCAGCGCCATCCATGTTGCTGCAAGTTGCATGTGTTTATCTTTTTTGAATGCTGAGTAATATTCCATGGTGTATATGTACCACATCTTCTTGATCCAGTCATCTATTTTTGGGCATTTGGGCTGTCTCCAAACCTTAGCTATTGTAAATAGTGCTACTATAAACGTAGGGGTGCAGGTGCTCTTTGAAGTTGATGTTTCTGTGTCCTTTGGGTAAATACCTAGGAGTGGAATTGCTGGATCATATGGAAGCTCTATGTTTAGTAGGTCCAGAAATCTCCACACAGCTCTCCATAGTGGTTGGACCAGTTTGCACTCCCACCAGCAGTGCAGGAGAGTTCCTTTTTCTCCACAACCTCGCCAACATTTGTTGTTGCTAGTTTTTTTAATATGTGCCATTCTCACTGGTGTAAGATGGTATCTCATGGTAGTTTTGATTTGCATTTCCCTGATTACAAGTGATGTTGAACATTTTTTCATATGCCTGTTTGGCCCTGGGTTCTTGAAGGAATTACATGGAAAATGTGTCCCGATGGCTTGGAACACTCTAGAAGCAGGGTGCTGTTTTTATCAACAGTTACAGATGGGCTCTTTTAATGCTAGATCTCCTACCTGGCCAAAAGAAAAGGACAACTGGAAATTATTCAATGATTTTCATACATTGTCTTAGCAAATCCTTACAATGCCAGTCAGAAATCATTAATTTTTATTTTTTAAGATTATTTATGCACACAAGAACTAGGGTACAGGCCAGAGATGCAGGGAGCTAGAGGATTTACCACAGACAGAGTGGGGAACAGAACAGGCAGACTGACTGAAACAAACTGCTGAGGGGAGCAGCGGGCAAGACAGGAGAGGTCTGCTGCACCATGTGGGTTGCTCCCTGGCCGGGGATCAAACTGGTGCTGCGGAGGCTGCAGATAGCTTCACAATGCTGTGTTTAACCCCTTGCACCACCAGGGAGGCCCAATCATTAATTTTTAACTAGATGAAGAAATAAACACACACAGGAGGTTATTGGCTTTCCCAAAATCACTAGGTTGTCCATGACAGAGACTGAATTAGAACATTCCTCTTTTCATCTTCCGGCCAGTTCTCATTCTATCATCACCATCAATCCTACTTTTCATACTAAAGGAATACTTCCCAGGAGTTCTGCTCTTTTGCCCATAGATAAAGACACTCTTTTTTTTTTTTTTTTTTTAAGAAAATTTTTGAGCTAATGGTCTAAACTATTGTGATAGTTTCAGCATGATAAGACCCATTTTTGTCTTGGAGAAAAATCAGGAGTTAAATGACAGTTGTCATGTTCAAAAGGAGCCTTCTACTTGAGATAATTCAAGAGAGTTGGCTCCTGACTCACTGGGGCCACTGGCATCTAAGGAAAAGGGCAAGGGAGGCCCAGGGGCGGAAACCACCTCCTGTCCCAATAGTCAGCGTCCATTGCTACCATAACCAATTTATAGAAACTTCAGGGCTTAAAACACAAATTCACACTTTCACATTCTGTAGGTCAGAAGTCCAGGACTTGAGAAAATAGGATGAAGGAATTGGCAGGACTGTGGTCCTTTCTAGAACTCTTGGGTGAATCTGTGCCCTTGTGTATTCAGGATGTTGGCAGAATTCTGTTCTTCCCTTTATAACACTGAGGTCTTATTTCCTGGCTGATTGCCAACCTATATATTTTTTCCTTATTAAAAATGCCTCACCTCCTTAGTGGCATATACATTGATCATCTGACCTCAGTCCAGGTTTCCAGATTTTTTTCTTGCCTCTGCCCAACATTGCATTGTACCCTCCACTAACACAAATGTCTAAAGTGACCTTGAATTTCTTGTCCACTGCGTCATATGAGACCTCACAATGTGTTCCCACCTGGCTTTCTCATCTCATGTCTCATCTCTCACCCTTTCCTCCTGCAGCACCGACCCCTCCCCTCTTGGGGACACTTTGCCTAACCTACTACACTATCTCCTTTTATCAGGCAAAGACAATGTTCTTCATTTTTTGAACCTGACTCAGTGAATTGCAGATAAGATAAATTGCTCCATAAATACATGTTGAATGCTTGAGTAAATGACATGAGCTGGGTCCTGGTGGCGGAGGAAACAGAAGGTGATGTCTATGGCTGTACTGAATTTGCAGTCAGTTACCTTGAGGTCATGGTGAACTAGAATAGACAGCATTGTTTAACAGAAAGTCAGTAATCACAGTAATCAGTAATCACAGTTGTCACTAGCACAATATGAAGAAAAGACCAGGTTTTCACTCTGAAATTTTTTCATGGTCTTGATGCTTTAAGAACTTTTTAATTTTTTAAAATCTCTTTTATATAACATTAAATTACTAGTATCAATACTGGTATTTTACTGTGTTCATAATTCATTAAACTTTTTAAATGAATGAAACAATTATAACCCATTTCAGATATTTAAATAATATTAATTTCCCCCCAACTGTATAAATTAAACTTTTTTTTTTTTAGGAGATTAACACAACCCATTCAGACTAAAGAATGACAAAAAGATGCAGAGGAAAATAGAGCAAGAAAACGGAAAGAGATCTGTCTTCCCCCCCTCAGGAGCCTTTTCAGTTTTGTGTCGGGGAGTGACACAAAAGTATAAGAAGACATACAATGTCTTTTCCTTTCTACAAAAGTATAAAAAGACATCTGATGTTCATGCTGAGTGCCTCCAACTAACCCAAGTGTTGCTGAAGAGGAGGGGGCAGCTCGGGTGTGCAGGATGTGTGCAGGAGAGCCAGTCCTCACCCCTACACTTCAGCCAGCGCTGCAGTTCATTGGCCAGAATAAAGAGTCTATCTACACAACTCATGAGTCTCCCATCTTCTATATAAAGAATGGGGTCCAGGGCTCTCAAGGTCATTTCCAATGGAATAGATTGTAGAAATATTGCTTTCCATCATGGATCAAGTGCATGGGCCAGCCAGACTCTGACCCATGGTCCTACCCTCATCAACAGAGGCCAGACCAGGAAACTCTGCGGCCGTTCTTTAGAGCTCAAGTTTTTCCACAAGGCAGACTGGTTTTAAGTCCCCTCTCTACTCCTGAGTAACTTTGTGATCTCCAGAAAATTACTTAACTCACATGTGTGTGAAATGGAGATGATACTGTTGACCTCATTGAGGACTAAAGATATTGTGGGCAAGTTCAGATTGGGGTGGCGGGCATTAGCTGTCCTTTCCACCCTTTTCCTAAACTTCTCAGAACATGAAGGAAGTAATTGACCAAGAGTAGTAGAGTTGACAAATTAAATCATGAGGGAATTCTGAATGTGTTTTCTCTGAGATACATCCACAAATCTACTTAATTTCAAATGCGTGTATACTCATTTCAAGGATTCTATGTTAATGTTTACTGTTAATAGGGGGTAAAAAGATTTCCTCCTGTGTTTTCAGCACATACACACCCTGAGCCCTTGAGATTAATGACCCCTTCAAAATATTAGCAACCCCATATTGAGCACCTACTATGTGAGAGCAGGGATGGAATTACAAGACTTATTTCACAAGTTGAACTCATGGATCTATCTAGAGGTCAAGAATCTTCTTGCTTCTTGCTTGGACAACTTCTCAGAAGTCAGTTGCAATTCATATCTTTGCTCCTCCTTTTCTGTGAGGTGTTTTATTCCTTTGGCTACTTTCAAGATTTTTCTTTATCTTTGATATAATGTGACTAAGTGCAGATTTTAGCTATTATTCTTCCTGGTGTTCTCTGAGCTTCCTGGGTGCCACTTTAGTGTCTGGCATTAATTTCAGGGGACTCCTCATTAATGCTCAAATATTTATTGTGTTCCTTTCTTCTCTTTCTGGTCTTCCCTTTACATGTATGCCATACTCTTGTAATTGTCTCACTATTCTTTTTTATTTAATTTTATATATTTTTTATATAATTTTTCATTTTTGCAAAATGTATGCATTTTCATCTTGGTTATAGTCCCCATACAATTCCCACCCCACCCCCCTTGTTTTGATCCTACTCCCTCTTCCCCTCTGCCCCTGTAGTGTGTCTCTGGTTTACAGTTGCTTGTTTGTTTTTGTTTTTTTGGTTTTTTTAAAGATTTATTTTTTTTCTAATTTATTTATACAAGCACTGGGTACAGTCAGAAGCGCGGGAGGGTGAGAGAATTCACCAGAGCCAGAGCGGGGAGCAGAGCAGGCAGAAGGACTGAAGTACACTGCTGAGGGGAGCAGCGGGCGGCAGGAGAGGTCTACGTGCCATGTGGGACCCTCCTCTGGTGGCCGGGGAGCAGCCGGGGATCGAACCGGCACTGCAGAGGCTGCGGGCAGCTTCGCAACCCAGCGCTCAACCGCTGCGCCACCAGGGAGGCCCAGTTGCTTGTTGATTTTGATTTTTACTTTATTGTAATTGGTTCTTGATATTCTGTTTTCCTTTTTCCAGTTTATTTTTCTCTTTACCTTTTCATTTTGGAGGTCTCTAGTGACAAAATGGGGAAAAAAATCCTCAAGTTTAGATTCTTCCCTCAGCCCCATCGAGTCTACCGATGTGCCTGTCAAAGGCATTCATTTTTGTTATAGTGCTTTGGGTTTCTCACATTTCTTTTTGATCTTTTCTTAGAATTTCCTTCTCTGTTTACATTACCAATGCATGTTGGCTGCTTTTTTCTTTAGAGCATATTAATCATAGCAGTTTTAACTTTACAGTCTGATAATTCCAGCACCCCTACCATATCTGGGGGTCTTCTGATCCTTGGTCTATGTCTTCAAACTTTATTTTTGCCTTTTAGAATGTCTTGTAATTTTCTGTTGAAAGCCAGACATGATATACATGGTAAAAAAGATCTGTGCTAAATAAGTCTTTTGTAATATAATGGTAAGTTTGAGAGGAGGGAACACTTGTGATTAAGTTCTGGACTTCTAGTGAGTCTTTGCTGCTGGACTATCAATTTCATAACTGCGCCCCCCCGCCCCCCAGGAGTGAGACCATGGCTATAGGGGCTGGTGTGATATTTGCCTTCGACCACACAGAAGGCTAGTGATGTCTGTGGTTAAGGATTTTTCTTCCCCCAACATGGAAGACTGGAGAAGCTGAAGTTGGCTATTTCTCTTCTCCTCTGAGTCAGCTAGGCTCTGATAAAATTAGATCTGTTAGGTCTGCTAAAACAGCTTCTCTTGAAGTCAGAACTTCCTCAGAGTGTTATGACATATTTCAAAATGGTTACATTTTTCTTCCTCCTGCTGGAAGGTCAATTTTTTTTTTTTCTTGATCTTCACTCTGAGAATCTAGTAGAGTTTCTGGAAGTAAAAGTCACAAAAGTGTGAGAGGGCCCCATGACTGGATCTCCCTTGAGTTTTTTCTCTCCCAGACTTGTCCACACTGAACCTCTTGCAGATTATCAGTTACAATTGGAGTTTTCCTACTCAGGTGCCCACCCAGGTGGGTTTTGCTCCGGTAAGTTATGATTCTGTCTACCTGTCTCTCTAATTTGGAGAACAACTGTTTGCCCTGTGACCTCAGAGATGGATCTAAGAGGAGTCATTGATTATTCAGATTATTCAGGCTTTTACTTCTGGTCAGGGTGGAATAAAATTTTCTAAGCTTCTTTCATGATAAATCAGAATCTTGAAATTATTGGGAGTTTTTTTTTAAACACCAACATTTGGTTTAATGTAAAACCCAAGGTTTTAGCTTAATTGGTCTAGGATGGGGCCTAAGTGATTCTAATATACAACCAGGGTGAAGAACTGCTGGTGGGTGTCATGTGTTATTGCTGAAGAAGGAGAAAGGGTAGCAATAAGAATGGGCAAGAGAGTTTTGTTTTTCTTGATCTCTTTTGTCAACTGTCTCTAGGCTGAAATCAGTTCTTTAGGTATTATTAAAAGAAATGTTTTCCACATAATAAGTGTTGCCCTGCCTCTGGCCCTGCCATTCTCAATTCCCTCTTTATGGTTATGTTATAACCCAGAGTGAGGCAGATGGACTGTAATGCTAGCCTCGGATGAGTTGAGAAGTATTCCCTATTCCCTATACTACTTTCCTCTGAAAAAGATTATACAGAATTGATAACATTTCTTCCTTAAATATTTAGTAGAAATCACTAGCAAACCCACCTAATCCTGATGTTTTCTGTTTTGCAAAGTTATTATCAACTCAATTTATTTATTATAATGCATTCATATGTTTGTGTTTTCTTGTACAAATTTTGGCAAATTATGTCTATCTAGTATTTGTTCCATTTCATCTAGGTAATCAAATTTGTGGCATAGAGTTGTTCATTGTCTCACATTATTGTTCTATTAATGTCCATAAGATCTGTGGTAATGTCCCCACTCTCATTTCTGATATTAGTAATTTGTATCTTCTGTCTTAGTTTCTTAGTTAGCCTAGTTAAAAATTTATTGGTATTATTGGTCTTCTCAAAGATGAACTTTTAGTTTTATTAATTTTCTTTATTAATTTTCTTTCAATTCTACTGATTTCTGTTCTAATTTTTATTTTGTTTTTTTGCTTGCTTTTCTTTACTTTCTAGTTTCCTAATTTGGAAACAGATTACTGACTTTTAAATAATTGTCTTTTTCTAACATATGTGTGTTCAATGATATAAATTTCACTCTAAGAACTGCTTTTCCTGATGTCACAAATTTTCACAAGCTGTGCTTTAATTTTGATTCAGTTCAAAAATATCTTTAAGTTTCACTTGAAATTTCTTCTTTGACTCTATTATTATAAGTGTATTGTTTTATCTTCGTGTATTTGGGGTTTTCCACTTTCTGTTACTGATTTCTAGTTTATTTGCATTGCGATCTGAAAATAGACATTGTATATTTGTTATTGAATATTAGGGCTTAGAATTTTGGCCTATCTTGATAAATATGGGAACTTAAGAGGAATGTGTATTATGCTGCTTTGGGCTGAAGTAGCCTATAGAGTCAATTACATCCAATTGTTTCACAATGGTGTTGAGATCAATTATGTTTTAACTGATTTTCCACCTGCTAGATCTTTTTATTTCTAATGAAGAAGTATTGAATTCACCAACTACAATAGTAGATTCAATAGTATTTCTACCCAAGGTTTTGACTGTCAAAACCTTGAACACTATCTTTAGCTGACTCACAAATGTATCTCTAACCACTCTCTTTGTGTTCCTTCTTGATACACATATCTAACTATACATGACATCTCCATTTTAAACATCTCCTAGGAAATCTCTCATGAAAGGTGCCCAAAACTACAGTCCTGTCTGTCCCTCTAAACTTACTCCTTTTCATTTACCATAGTCTCATTCCTCCAGTCACAGAGGCCAAAATTCTTACACCCACTCTGGACCCTCTCTTTCCTTCATGCCCCTATGCAGTTACAAATCTTATTGGCTTGACCTTCAAACTATAGTTCTACTGCCTCTTGATGCCAGTTCTACTGCCTCTTGATGCCAGCAACTGGAGTCTACTTATGGGTTATCTAAGTGGTCTCTTATCTCTCAAATAGACCATATGACAATTAAAACACAATACATGCTCAGCGAAATAAGCCAAAAAGAAAAAGAAAAATACCGGATGGTCTCACTCATAGCAGGAATCTAGAAAACTTAAATAAGGGACCAGGAAAATGAATATAAGAAAGTGAAAATCAAAATCAACAAAAAACTATGAACCAGAGACACTTTTTGGGGGGGGGGGGGCGGGAGGGGAAGGATTGGGGTCAGAATGGGGCGTTTGCAATTGTATGGGGAATATAAAAATAAAATTTAATAATAAAAAAAAAAAAAAAAACACAATACAGATGAAAAACAATGTGGAGGATGAGAGTTTTGCACTGTTTACTGTTTTTTTTTTT